GAAGTTTGTATTCTAACTCAACTTCACAGACATTTTCCCACACCTACATGATCTATCTAACCGAGCCTCGATATAGAATTGTTCAAGAAGTACTCTTCTAAAGAGCTTTATTAATTCTTCTGAGCTCCACCTCCTGACTTAGAAATAAAGAATTGATTATCAGCTAATTTTCAGCTAGCTATCAGCTAATTCCAGGCAGTCAACAATGCTACGTCAATGCATTTTCTCGCTTTTTTCCTGTAAACTACAGGCTAAAGAGGTTCCCGTAGGTTCGATAATTAAAGTGGATGTCATGGAACTTGTCATTGTTCGCCATACCATTATAGTCTACTACACTATTGGAAACCCTCTTGCTCACCACACCAGAACTACTGTCCAATCAACTACATTATACTTTATGCCGGGTATCGTTAAGCTCGCGTCGGTGATTTGGCTGTACACAGGGGGGTACGAACCATTTACTGGGTACCCACTATACCCCAACATCCTCTCTCTTTCTCTCTCTCGTACCCTGGTCCCAGTTTCCCCAGGATCACGGAGCTGCATTTAACGAGCTCATTGTCCTGAGTGGTGTTTCAAGTGTTGTTTAATTGCCCCTTCTCACAGTATATCACACTGTACTGACTAGTAGACTGGTAAACTAAGCTGGTAAACTCAATATTATACGGCAGACCACTTTAAATTCGATAGAGATGCCAGCACACCAAAAATAACCAAATTGAGACTGGTAGACTGACTACTTAGTTCAGTGTCTCTCAACACCCACCACAGTTCTGGTAACACGGCCGACTTTATTCTGCACTCTGCCGAGTTTGTCGACACCTCATTGTTCTTTGTTATTTCATATTTACTGTGCACTAGTTACCCGTTAATTTCACCTATCATCTTTGTATCATAACTCATCAGTTGACCAACGATCGATGTCCAATGTCCATAGTATCCAATTTCAAGTCAAAATGTCTACGACAATTGCAGTATTAAAATGATTCTTTGGTCGATAATTTCACTACGACGCTGCGCGAGGTAACGTGACTTCTGTTATCCAATATCATCTTACCGTTCCTCTAGTCTGGTCAGAATCATAATTAATTTGAACACAAGAGTTGACCAGTTGTCTGATCACCGACCGTATCTTTGTTGTAATAACAATTTATTCTTTATGAATGAAATATAAGACCATTCTCTTTAACCAAGTTTTTGACTAGGACAGAAGACTATTCTCTTTAACCAAGTATTTCACTAGGCTAGCAATGGAGGAGCAGCTAACCACGCACAACATCTCTGCAGAGGAGCACGTCATCCCAGCGTACACAAACTACACGTTTGCAGTGGTCTACATGGTCTGCATGTTGGTGGGACTGCCCGGTAACCTCATGTCCCTGCAGTACTTCATAACCTGTGCAAGGCAGAGCAACACCACTGGGAACAAAACATTCTTCAACAACCTCTACATCCTGACCTCTCTAACGGACCTGGTCATCTGTGCTACCCTCCCTCCAGTCATCGTCAGTTTTCTGTACCAGCGGGGCGCTGGGTGGTTCGCGTGCGCGCTCTTCTGTCAGCTGTGGGGTGTCCTGTGGGAGATGCTGCCCTACATCTCGGTCTTCTTCGTGGGCCTCATGTCCATATCCCGGACGGTAGTGCTGATCAAGCCTCTCTGTCAGCTCAACACCAAGTTGCAGTGGGGGCTGACAGCCGGGTACTGCTTGTTCCTGATAGCGAGAACGGTGTGTCCTATCTGGATGGACGCTGCCACGTACGAGTACGTGTTCAGTGACGTGTACTGTTACGAGCTCCCCACTGCTGACTGGTCCTACAAGTTCAACTCCATATCCCGCTCCCTGACTCTAGCTGCTCCTGTCATCCCCATCTGTATCAGCTGCACTACCTCTTACTGTATTATAATGCTAAACGAGCGCAGACAACTCAAAGCCCGACGACCCTCCAAAGCACGACTCCCTCTCTGTAAACCGAGTGGAAAACCCGCACTCGCCAAATTGAAGAAATCCTCCCCGATGAACGCCACAATGACAATCCTGATCTTTACAATAGTCTATATAATGCTGAACATTCCAGTGTTCGTGAACTACCTGCTGATGTCTATAGCTGGGTGGAGTAAGGACTGCGTGAGTGACTGCTATCACAAGACATACCGTAATCACCCGGCCCTTATCTGGTACAGCTGGAACTTTACCTATATCACGTGTGTGGCCCTGAACAGCACGGTTAATCCCATGATCTATTACTGGCGGATGCCCAGTGTCAAGGAGTTTGTGAACGTCCGAGTGAGCCGGACAAGTAGAGTGCTGTTGGATATCTCCAATAAGGAGAGTGAGCTGAGGAAGCGAGTGTCGAGTGCCTTCATCAGACCTGGGTACCAGCATCAGACTTTGTCTACAGGGGCGCCAGACAGCAGTCCGAGTGCGACCACTCCAGAATTTAATGGAGGCATTCTGGAGGTGCAGTCACCACACTAGTCTACAGCTCCTGACTCTCTCTCTGTTTTATGATTTTGATATGTTTTAATGTAGGGTATGAAATTAAGTGAAAGACACATTTCGGCTCACTTAACAGACACAAAAAAAAATTTTCTCAATCACACGAATTGTTTAAAACTCTGCAAACTCAATTCATTGTGATATCTTGGGTTGATTTTTAAATGTTGTTTTAGATGTAAATTACTTTTCTTTTTCTTATCATTTTTGTTATCAGCCCATGAGTGATGACACACTTCCTTTGTTTGTCTATTGTCTATGATAGACTATAGCTGATATTTATTGTATAAAATGATATCAATCTTCGATATTTTTATGTCAAATTGAGAGCTTAGCTTCCATCTATCAAAATCCGCTGGCCAATCTATGAATTCAAACTTGTTGTCAAATCCGATGATCCGATAGGTGCAAGGTTAAAATATACATATCAAAGTGTAAAAATTCACCAATCTTTAGTCTGTGTTTACCCCCCCCCCCCCCCCCCCCCCCCCTACAATTGTTGGCGGTCCCTGCAAAATAGTTCCTTTTCTGGCGCCCAATGGTAGCTAGAATTTTAAAAACCAATATCTTGGAAATCTTGTTCCCGTCGATCGATATTGTTAATTAAACTGCGAAAATCGGAGAATTGTTCGTAAAAAGGCGAAGTGGAGCGCAGATTATGCACTCAGCGGACAGCATGGCGTGTTCAGCCTTAAGTCACGCAACCGGTTTAACACCATGGTATTGGTGGCTCAACCTGATGTCTTGTGAATGGACTATTTTGGTTTTTTCTCCACTTTACCTTTAAACTTTAAAGTGAAGCTAAGGTGCACCATTTTAAAAAGGATTCAGAGTTTAGAGAAGAAATGGCTCCGGTATGACGGATATATCCTAGACTGCAGTTCGCATACACAGTTAAGATAATTCATATTTGGGAAATCTTTCGTCCTGCAGAACGGTCGTGCTATACCACAATGATATCTCATCTTGTTAGGCGAATGTGCTACAAATCAATTTGGCGTTGCCCCTAGCGAGGGCCAATAAAGAACGTTGATTTTAGTCACGTGGAACAATTCTACGCAGTATGATCAACCCTTGCAACAAAACTTTTGCATCGCGCGCTACAAAGACACAATCTTGACTTCATGACTGGTCGAGGGACATATCAAAAATACAATCTGCGGCTAAAATAATAAGACTAATTTAGTGTGCACGTTTAATATGCATGTCCAATCTGCCGAGTCTGAGAAAAACAGCTAGGTGATTTAGTGAACGATGAATTAACATGGTAGCTCCTTGGATTACACGATGACAATTGAGTGGGGCAAAATTAAGTGTGCACAATGGACCATGGCAACAAGGCATTGGTGGATAAAATTAATGATAATAAGTCACAATACGGTAACACGACTCCTGTCCGACAGCGACATCTGTCCGACAGCGACATCTGTCCGACTCAGGGTACCAGAAAAAAACGACATCTGTCCGAAATTGTGATCTGATTTCAATAAGACACATTTCCAATTTGAGACATGATCTGAACTGTTACTTGCAAATTTGTATACGTAACATTGCCAATTTGAAATATGATCTGAGCCATAGTTTACTACTAGTTTATTTTCGACCTAGGCAGGCAGGCATGAAGCAACTGCGTTGTGAATGGCGAGCTCATAGTCCATGAGGATGGATTGTGGTTGGTAGCCCCAAGGCTCAAGAAGCCCAGGTGTCTATCTCCTCGAACATGTTGCGGTAGAGGGTCATCGATTTCCCAGGAATGAGTCCATAGAAGAGGGGGAGGTGCCAGCCATCAGGGAAGAGTCCGTGGACTGTGAAGAGCTGATGGAAGAGATTAGGTGCGGATTTGAAGGTACCGTCGACTACCCAATACTCCGCGTCCACCATATGATCTGCGTTCTTAGGAGTCCCCCAAAGAAAAGATCGACGAGTCTGTTGATCGTCCCATCCAGAGTTCCAGCGCATCATTGGACTGTTGTCGGTAAAGAGGATGTAGTTTGCAGGAATGGATAGCGTTTCCAGATCTCTCGGGTCTGTTTGCTGCAGATCTGGGTCTGTTTACTGAAAATTGGTTGATTTTGTGGATTGCGATAACTGATCTCCATACGGCCGCTGTCCTATATGTACTCATGTAGGCTGTGTCCTGTGATGTGATCAACAGTGTACGGCTAGCACAATCCTGTCCTCAAATAGTCAATCACGTATCGATGGATCAGATCTCAATGGATCACATCAGCATTCGAACAATGGGAGCAACGTCACGAGATTATCCGTGAGCTTGTGAAATACGAATGTGAACCGTAATTACAATATGATCCGAAATTCGGACAGATGTCGCCAAAAACGACTCCTGTCCGACAGCGACATCTGTCCGAAATTCCCAATTCGGCTGTCGGACAGATGTCGCTGTCGGACAGATGTCGCCCAATCTCACAATAGATAAATTGATCTATGATCAAGTAATGAAATAACCATACTCTTTAATGTCAGAAATATTGAAGAGGAACTCACATGTTTTAACTTCACTGGAGCTGAGAGGCGGTAACTTGGCCCCTTTCGATTGGATGTCTGAAAAACCGTCGGAAAAGTATTTGTGTGGATTCATCATGAAGTCGGGGCGTTGAGGCATCCCTATCGAGTCTAAATCGCTAACTTTCAGTACCTGCGATTATTTTTGAGGTAGCACAGATTATACCTATCGTGTATCTCCATTAGCATGGTCCTAAGTAAATTAAGTTTGAGCGACAGCCTAATACATCCAGTGTTTTTGGATTAGCTGAAAACTAAGTGGATAGAAAACTAACAGCCCAGTTACCTGTGAAGGGCCACCCATCTGTGTACCAGATATTGGTCGCTGGTCAGCCCCAACTTGGGGCAGTCTTGCATAGTTGTGAGGCTGGCGTCTGGGTCTTTTTTGCGATCTCTGGTTTGCGTACGACTTTCCTGCGATGGGGTGAGGTTAAATGTCTGAATTATATCGATCAGTGATGATCTATGAAGACTGCTGCGGACAGCTGCAGCTGCTGTGAGGTTGAATTGTTGCAGATACATTTCAAAACACGTCAAGAATAAAAAGAAGTTCACACTGAACAGCCCAATGCGGGGCTCGAACCCGCGACCCCGAGATTAAGAGTCTCGTGCTCTACCGACTGAGCTAACCGGGCACTGAACTCATGCCGATTATAAAGTTAATATTCTATGCATCTTTTGTTATTAAAAGTGCCAATTCCACGAACAATTTTATTCTCCCGTGTCAATCATTTATTCCGTTCATTTCATCAGATCAGTGATCGTGAAGTTTACATGTACTTTTAATTCCGTCAAAATTTTTCAACAAGTCTCCTTGTAAATTGCGCATCGTGAACTGCTACAGTCCCACCAACCCCAGAACTATTTCAAATCCGGCTGCTACTGACCAGTTTTACTGCGAACTTCAGGAAGCAATAACTGTACCTGCTAGACAATAGACATGAGTTATGGATTTTGGGGATTTTAATAATTTGGTAAAAGGTCCAATCAAGACTTTGACAGTGGTCTCTATAAGAACATTGGGAGGTATGGTGTTGGAAGACGAAACAAAATGGTGAGAGATTGTTAGATTTCCTAGTATCTAATGGTTTATTTGCTGCTAACACAGCTTTTCTACATTCCAGACGTTACCACTAGAGCTGGTTGGGTCAAAGATAAAAAGACCAAAAAACTTTTCCCTTATTATTCCCAGATTGACTTTATTCTATGCACTTTGTTTCTCACTGATGCAAGAGGAGGTGCTAAACTACACTCAGATAATAAGATTGTGAAAGCAACCATAGACTTAAAGAAACAGACCAAGTTGTATAAAAATAATTCTTCAGCTACTAAAAGGTACACCACAACTTCACTGATATCTGGATAATATCCGGTTGGAAGAGACAAGGCCAAATGAAACAAGGAAGTTAGGAGTAAGGGCAAATTTTCGGCGTCAACGCCATCTTCAGGCTCAAATTATTTGTTATATAGTAGTGTTGAAAGTATTAAGTAACAACTTCACTGGATTTCTCTCACGTAATTCTGAATGCCCCTCACGTATCTAATACTAATAGTAATACTTGATAGGCTCAGCGTTCCAGTTTTGCAGTTTCCCGTGCGTTGTAATTTTCAGCTCTCCTCTCTCTAATTGCAGCTCTCTCTATAATTAGAGAGAGAGAGCGCGACTTAGGGAGATAGATATTTTGGCTAGTTCAATAAAGTTATAGACCCCGTCCCCTATACCTTGGATGGAAACGATATACCAGCATGCAGCAAGCAGCACACTCAAGGCAGCTCAGCCCTACTTCAACTCCGATTATACCGACGCAACTTCGATTACACCAACGTAACGGAAACATCACGTTGTCAGATCAGGGTTTGGCGTATCACTTCATTAATAAACCCATCTGCTATTCCTTTTGCGCTTAAGTTTTAATATGACTTTACTTACGTAAGTTTTAATATGACTTTACTTACGCAACGATTTATTATGACTTTACTTACGTCTTCAACGTTCTTTTATTTGCAATCTTTCATTTTCAATAGCATTTCAACTAAAGCATTTTCTCTAAAGCTGGTAACCTGCCACTCTTTAACTAATTATTAACCATGATCCTCTTCTAAGTTTTTAGCTTTTACTTTATAAATTCATCTACTATTTCTCTGCGCTGACGTTTTATTATGACTTTACTCATGCCATCACCTTTCTTTTCTCTGTCATCTAACATTTTCTTCAGCACCCTTCTCACCAGCTGGTAACCTGCTACTCCTTTAAGTTTTAACATATGGATATACTTCTAATTTAGATTCTGTTTTTGGTCACTTAGTTTACAACTTAAGTCGGCAGAGTCTTATTGCTCGCGCATTTGCTTGCTTATATGTTTGCCCTCTTTACTCTCGCTTGCGCTCCCCTTAGTGTCACAAACACTAGTGTAGGGCTCCTTTTCGACTGAGTCCCGTTTCCCCTGCTCATGCTCGCTAGTTAGTGCCGCATTTTTGTTCACACACTCCCGCGCACGTAGCATTTTTTTACAGCTTGGCACTGGAAGTTGTCTCCATTTTGCAGGTGGAAACATTCAATCGAAGAACAGTCTGCATTTAGTGTTTAAGCCATTAGTAACCCTTCTCTCCTTGTTTTCACTGTCCGTTTACCCATCATAGTGATAATTACCTGCTACTTTAATTGTTCAACCTCCTCCTACACGAGGAATTCTTAACACGTGGCTACATCACGAGTTACCTCCTCACTGTTCCTCTGTTCCCACTTCTGCTGCTTAACTGATGGATCCCGCCTCATTAACAAAACAGGCTCAATAACAAAACAGCCTCAATAACAAAACAGGCTCAGCACTTGTGGTATACTCCATGCATGACGTAGACCCCTTAGCTACATTCTAATGGAGACTTGATGACCACAACACCGTTTTCCAAGCCGAAATGATGGCCATAAGAGAAGCTTGCACATGCCTTCGCTCCCTGTCCTGTCAGAACGCATCAGTAGCCATCTTCACAGACTCACTTTCTGCAGTGCATGCCCTATCTGCCGACGCCTTGTCTAGCCCATTATGCATCGAAACAAGAAAAGAACTAGATATGCTCACATCATTTTGCTCTTCTGTTTCCCTAACATGGATAAGAGGACACTCAGGTATAAGAGGAAACGATCTGGCTGACACTCTTGCGAAGGAAGGGACCACCTGCAGCTCCATTAAACAGTTCCTCTTCCCATAAGCCATTACAAGACGACACTGCGAGATAACAGCTTTACCTCCAGAGTCAATAACTGGTCTGACTCCACTTCCTCTACCCTCTACTCTCCCTACTTACCCACTACTCCTTACCACAGCACATTAAACTCTTCAGGTCTCTTAACAGGCGTAACTCTCGCATTATTTTATTATTTATACTCTTTCTGAACATAATAGACGACACGATCAACCCTAATTGTTCGTACTGTTTCTCTGGACGCCAAGACTTTTACCACGTTCTCTTTTTCTGCCCAGCCCTGGAGTTCGATCGGCTACAACACCTCGGCTCCTCTCCTCACCTAGCAGATTTTAACAGCATCTCACCCCATTCTTTACTCAAGTTCCTCCTTAGCATTCCCCTTTACCTGAGATTCGCAGAGTGACATTGTTTTGACATTACTTATGTTTACCTTGTGTTCATTTATATTATTACTCATTAAACCATTAGATACCCCACAACTATCACTTGCTAAACCCCATCTCGGCAGTATCGAGATAGCCCGACCACTGGTCCGCGGACCACTGTCCGCGGACCACTGTCTGCGGACCACTGTCTGCGGACCACTGTCCGCGGACCACTGTCTACCAGATCATATTACTGTATAATAACAGTATTCGAGGACGATCAGGGAACCAGGGACATAGATGCATTACACCCAGGACAGGACATGGAGCTCTTTAGGAGGTTTTTCTGGAATAGGAAGTCTCTAGCATTCTCTAGGGAGGCGGTGGGTCCATTAATTTCGTCCATTAGACAGAAGAGTACCATGTCAGGAATTGGAATAGTTGTTGTTGTTGATGATGGCAACTGATAATACTTCACCAAAAACGAACGACTTATATACCACATTTTAATCGTAATCATTTATTTCATTGAGCAATCAATATTATTCGTAACTAATTATATCCGAGAGACCACATTTGAATCGTAATCAATAGTTTGATCCAGTAATTTACTACGCTACAATTAATTATGCTAGTCGTAACTAATTGCATCCAAGATACCATACATACCATTCATATGATCTGGTAACCAATCAACTATTCACAAACACCTGTTGCTTGATTCAGGGGATACTGTTATTATACAGTAATATGATCTGGTAGACAGTGGTCCGCAGACAGTGGTCCGCGGACCAGTGGTCGGGCTATCTCGATACTGCCCTCATCTCTTATCCATCATGCAATTGCGCCTATGATCCTACCACCTCCCACAACAAGAGTTTGTAACCAGCAACGTGGTCAAAGGACTCACAGAATCTCAACAAACGGAAGATACTCTCTCCTATTCTCAAACCACAGGTAAGTCAGGCAGTGGTTCACACTCTGTTGATATCTCACTAGTGAGATTTGTGGTTTCTCACAATTCTTAAAGTCGAGTGTGTCCCACAACCAAGCACTCTGCCTAGAAGTCCTACATTATATAATTTTATATAATGAGCTGGACATAAGTGGCAAGTAGCTCTTGAAAACAAACAAACAAACAAACAATACTTGATAGGCAATCTTGAGGTTAAAATTACCTAATTATAAAGCAAATCTATTTTAAGGGGAGAGAGAGCGAGAGTGTGAGAGAGGGAGAGTAAGTGAGACACTTTACATGTTACATGTTACATGGCGAGATCTCCATCCAAAAGGATTAGTCTGCGTCGACTGCGTCATTACTTTGTATTATACAACTTCGGCGGGTAACATTTCTCCATCCCTTTCGGTCTGCAGCTAATCTTCTCATACAATCAATCGTGAGTCCATTCCGATCCAATCTCTGCTCAGCATCCTCAATAAATACATCATTTAAGCTCTTCCTAGGCCTGCCTCTTGATCTCTTCCCATGCTTGGGTTTCCATTCAAGTAAATAGTTGGGTAACCGATCTTCAGGCATTCTACTGACATGTCCAAACCAACGCAGCCGTTTTGTTGTTATTATGTCAGCAAGAGCAGTTATTGATGCCCTTCTTAAAACATCCTCATTACTTACTCGATGGAACCACCTCACTCTCAGGATTCTTCTTAAGCAGTACTGATGGAAAGACTCTAATCTTCTTGTCTGCACTTGAGTCGTGTTCCATATCTCACATCCATAGGTCAGAATGGTAAGAACAGCTGCGATGCAGATTCGCACTTTGTTGTTAATGCTTATGTTCTTATTCTTCCAACTTTCCAAATATTGTTGAGTTGGTTAAAAGCTCCGGTTGCTTTTCCAATCCTGACACTTATTTCTTTATCAATCTTGCCATCTGATGTAATTTTGGCACCCAAATAAGTGAATTGAGTGACCTGCTTTGCAGAGTTTCCATCGACAGTTATATCTATGGTCCTATTCTCTGGGAGTGGGTGCTGCGACGTATCTTTCCCAATGACCATGATCTCTGGTTTCTTTGCGTTCATCTTTAAACCCCCAAGCCCACAGTATTTCGCAATATTGTCCGTTGTTTCTTGCAGTCCTTCAACAGTGTCATCCATTCCTGCGATGTCATCAGCATAGTCCAGATCAATGACACATTTTTCCGGTTGTCTGGAACTTTGTCTGTACTGAAGAGTAAAACCACGGGATATATTTTTAAACTTCTCTGCAAGTTCTAATCCCCAGTTAAGTACAAGATTAAAAATGGGGGACCCTTGCACATCACCTTGTCCAGTCCCTGAATCGACATCAAACCATCTTGTCAATTCTCCATTGACACGAACTGCACTTAGTATCACATTTGGGTCACAAAATGATCAATTAAACCACTTACCACCGACCAATTTGAAAAACTTTAATCATTTGGCTTCGCCAGAGTTTTGTCGGCACTATATCGAAAAAAACCAGTCCCATATCTCTTACCGTTTTATTGATTTAACCATTCGTAAATTACAGACAGACAGACAGACAGACACATTTATTGAGATTATTAGTATAGATAATGACTTCCAGTTCCCAAGAAAGATTTCAGATCACCAGATAATCGGGGAGGAAAGTTTTGGTGCAAAAGAGGAAATTTAAAAAGTGTACGATCTGAATTTTGACTTTTTTGTTGTTTGTTTATTTTTTAGAGTAAAACACGAGTATGAGTAATTCTATACACTCATACACTGGTCAAAATGTTCCTTTCGGAATGATCCTTAAGTAAGTTTTTCACAGTTTTCCAAAAAAGAACTCGAAACCCAAAGATCAAACTATGAATATGCGTGGTGCAAATTAATTACTTATTTTGCCATCCGTTATAAGCCGGAATTGGCAGAGAGTCAAATAAAATATGAGGTAATATATTTGCAGCTCTCCGTTGAATCCTTTGAAGGAGCAGCTAATGTTCTCTGTCTATTGTTTATAATATTTCGCCGCAGCACATGACTGAATTGGCAGAGATTCAATAGAATATATGAGGTAATGGGTTGAGAAAATAAATTGTGCGGGGAAGACGCGGGAAAGTCTTGTTCCACATCTCTCATGAGGCAGTGAGTCAAATAAAATATGAGGTAATGTTTTGAGAAAATAAATTATGGGGGGAAGACGCGGGGAAAGTCTCGTTTCACTTCTCTCATGAGTTATGATGTTTGCCTTTGTAAAATGATGTCATGATGTCTGCCTTTGTAAATATTATCTTACTGGGAACCGATCGAGTCAACTCCGTACCCCACTAATGGGAATAATTATTATCAAAGTAACACTAAGTATAATTTGGATTCAATGTGGCCATATATTTGCAGCTCTCCATTGAATTCTTTGAAGGAGCAGCTAATATTCTCAGCTCCGTACCCATTAATGGGAATAATTATTATCAAAGTAACACTTAGTATAATTTGGATTCTATGTGGCCAAATATTTGCAGCTCTCCATTGAATACTCACATGATCATCTGAATAGAGTGACATTATCCCATGCAGGAACCGTCTTTAAGAACATGGAAAGAGTTAGTTCTCTACACTATTGCAGTCTAACATTTTGATAGTTGCTGATTCTTGCTCCGTTGAACGACATGGGAAAATTCTACGTCTTCCTCTCAGTAGTCACCATTCTAGGTCTCCTCTCTGAGGCTAATAGTGCATGCAAAGCCCCCGATAAAGTGATTAAACGGAAGAAGAAAGTCCTTGCGGGATGCTTAAAAAAAGGATATCAATCATCTCTCGAAGGATGCGTTTCAGGTAGTGGAAAGCCAAAGCGCAGACAAGTGAAGGCATGCACGGAGGTGGAGAAACAGCTGGCATCTTGTGATGTCTCCTGTATAGAGAAAGTAGATGGTAAATATGGTCCCTTCGGAGAATGGGGTACTTGCTCGGCGGCATGTTGGGGTGGCTCACAGTCAAGAACAAGGGAATGCAACAACCCTGCTCCATCAGGTGGAGGCGCAGGTTGTGTTGGAGAAGCAAATGGAGTTCGAGCTTGTAACGAAAATGTCTGCCCTGTGCATGGTGGATGGAGTGCCCCTGGAGAGTGGTCAGCTTGCTCAGCAACATGTGGAGGTGGCACTCAGTCCAGATCAAAGATTTGCAACAGCCCTGCTCCGGCAAATGGTGGCGCAGATTGCTCTGGAGAAGCCTCTGAAACTCAAGCTTGTAACGAAAATGTCTGCCCTGTGCATGGTGGATGGAGTGCCCCTGGTGAGTGGTCAGCTTGCTCAGCAACATGTGGAGGTGGCACTCAGTCCAGATCAAAGATTTGCAACAGCCCTGCTCCGGCAAATGGTGGCGCAGATTGCTCTGGAGAAGCCTCTGAAGTTCAAGCTTGTAACACTCAAGGCTGCCCTGTGAATGGTGGATGGAGTGCCCCTGGAGAGTGGTCAGCTTGCTCAGCAACATGTGGAGGTGGCACTCAGTCCAGATCAAAGATTTGCAACAGCCCTGCTCCGGCAAATGGTGGCGCAGATTGCTCTGGAGAAACCTCTGAAACTCAATCTTGTAACGAAAATGTCTGCCCTGTGAATGGTGGATGGAGTGCCCCTGGAGAGTGGTCAGCTTGCTCAGCAACATGTGGAGGTGGCACTCAGTCCAGATCAAAGATTTGCAACAACCCTGCTCCGGCAAATGGTGGCGCAGATTGCTCTGGAGAAGCCTCTGAAGTTCAAGCTTGTAACGAAGATGCCTGCCATTGCAACAATTTGCTAAGTTTGGGCTGCTGGAGGGACGAATTCAGCAGAGCTATAGATGGTGGAATCAGACTCAGGGGTGACTGGGAAGCATGTCGGGCTTATGCTTTGGCACGAGGCTGGAATATCTTTGCTATTCAGTACGGTAATGAATGTTTCACTAGTGCCAATCCCAATTACCAAAGGTATGGTAGGTCTGGAGACTGTAGGGACGGTAGAGGCGGAGGCTGGGCCAACGACGTCTACATGATACAGTGCAATGGACAATAGTTAAAACAGTCACATGACTGAGAATGGAATGGACTACGAAGATGGAATATAGACTTAATCAATTTGCATGTTTTGAACTTAAAAAGAATTCAGAAAAAAATTTCCAAGAATATTTAGAATACATTATCTTCAATTACCACTATTGAAAATACTTGACTATCAATTCTACAATTTCTTGAAAAGTTAATTCAATCTTTAATGATTCTACTCCAGGGCAATTCCACCGTGACGGACACCACGATTTTGCTGTTTTTTAAAGTTCAAACGAATGTTGTACTCGAGATGTTGTTTATTTATCAGTTCCAACTGTTTATTAGTCCACATTTAACCTTTCTACAGGTTGTGTGAAAATTTCAGACCCCTACCATTATTACTTTCTGAGATAGCACCCCTGTGACGGACGCGACTTAAATATGACACTTTTTTTGGGTGTCTACTCAGATGGTACCCAAATTTATCTCAAAAAGTTATCTATTGTCTCTAATTTGGAATTACAATGATAGAAGAAGGTTTAGGGATTTCTGAGATGCCATTTTCTTGGAGATTGCTCAATTTTTGTATGCGTGGCGCCATTTTCAAATTGTGACAGACGCGACTGTGACGGACACACGTTTTTTTTCAATTTTTCCAAATCTTCCACTTGACACTTTTATCTTGTTCAGTGACATCTACTCTGTATTCATGCCAATTTTTAGGCCTCAAATACCCCCAAGAGGTCTGCAGTAGCCAAAATTGTCCATTTTGGGCATACGCTAGGGTATCAGTCTAGGGGCATCAATTATTTCTCTACTTGAACAAATTTATAACTCTGATAAAACATTCATCACTGTTCAATGCATCATACTGTTGAGACCATCTCCTAAAAGTTTCATTACTTTAGTGTTTAAAATGTGGAAGATATTGAATTTTTACTTCAAAAATATGCGAAAATAGGGTAAAGTCCATTTTGTGTGCCTTTTACCTCTGAAAAAGTTGTAAGCAAATAAAATGGCAAAAACTCAGTAAATTTAATTATTGAATTGCATATGATGTTATTTGATAGTCTAGTTAACATAGTCAACACAATCCAACCTTATTTGACTTCTATTCGTCTTGGTTTTAATCAAAATAATGGAAATATGGATAAAAATGGCTAAAAGTGAGCCGTACGCCCATATATGGGCATATACAAAATTATACATAACTCGGCCATTTTCTGTCCAATTTTCGATTTGACGACATAGTTTTGTTGAGGACGGTCTCAGCTTTAAGAAAAATGCATTTCAAGTCTGTTTAAAGATTTTTTGGAGCATTTTCAAAAGAATGTGACGGACGCGACAAGTTGGGACCCCCCTTCCAAAATTTTTTTCTTAAAAGATACAAGCCTGATAATTTCTACGGTACTCCCTTACCTTCAGAAGAGATATGTTACAGTGGTTTTTTAAATATAAATAGCACTATGTGGCTCTGAAAAATCTTTTTTGCTTAATTTTGTGACGGACGCGACACCATCTTTGTGGAAATTTTTTAGAAAAAGTGTTAGAGTAACGGTTGTGAAACTTTGCATAGCTCTCATTCTTATGCCTATGCCTAAGTGTATGAAATTTCATAGAGAAATATTGCTTCATACCCAAACTATGGCCCTTTGAAAATTTGAATGATTTTTTTCATTTCCGAGTAGTGTTCCTTTGAATGAGAAAAATCAAAAGTTAACGCAATATGAAACAAAAAACTTTTGTTGACCTGTAAGGTTAAGAGTCTAATGAACATATTTTAACCAAAATTAGGTGCCTATCTCAACATTTTTCATTTTCACCAAGTGGAACCTTACCGTGGAATTGCCCTCCAGCCGAAAATAATTTCTACCTGTGAGCTTGTGGAATAAAATAAAGCGAAGTTCATGAAATCATAAAAGTCAATATTGGAGCTAACAATCAGCAATTTAAATAACAGAACAGATAAATTTAAAAACAGCAACCCTTCAGCTTCACCCCCTCAACAGATGTCAGGCCACCCAAATATCCCACTTTATCACTGTTTCTTGAGAAGTAATCAAATAATATGATAGTTACAACGGGCCAATTATTATAGTATACAAATTTAGGAGTACAGTTAACCGGATCTGAAATAAAATCGAACATAGAAAAAGTTCGTGTTTTTATATCAGACAGTATCAGCAGCGATATATTGAGAGTTAGGTATTTCGTTCATAACCTTTAGCTTTGGTGATAATGTGCTATTGCTGCTTCTAGTATGATGAATCCGAGAGTTCTTCACCATCTTCTTGACGGACCTCTTTATCCAGGCTCGAAAATCAGTCATTCTCCCCAGATACAGACACGGATTAAGGACTCCATTTAGAAGAGGGAAGAATACGTGAGATAGCAAGTGTCCGTACCAGCGGTAAAACCTTCTTCCCACCATCAGGTTGATGTTTCCTTCACGGTAGTGCAGAGTTGCGTACATCACTTCCGTCACTAGACAGGGGAGGTTGCACGCTAGAAACACTCCGGCGAATATGGAGATTGTCCAAGAGGCTTTTCTGAACTTTTTAGCATCAGAAGCGAGAACAGCATTTCTTTTCAGTAGTGTTCCAGCACCAGTCACTAAGCCAAGCAGCACAGCAAACGAGGGTAAAAGCAGCTGAATCTGGAATAGTAATGTGTAAGCCGTGTAGTCACCCTTGAAGGAGTGGTAGAATAGCTCACAGAACGATACCCGGTCTTGATACATCACCTTCGCCCATTTGTTAGAAATAGCGATAATATCAACAGAAAGTGAGACGAGGCAGTATACCAGCACCATCACAACCAAGAATGGTCTCCGTTTAAGTGAGTTAAAGCTTGGGAACAAGATTCCAGCAGTTCTGTATACAGTTATTACCATGACCAGGAAAGTGGAGGTTTTAAGAAGAAGATAGAATATGACCGGCCATGGTTGGCAGATAGACGTGAACTGGAACAGAGCTTCCTTCCGGTCGTTCAGCAATGAAGCAGCAACTGGAATAGTGGCAATACAAGCACATAAATCAACAGCAGATATACACAGATATAGCAGGTCGTACACAGTTTTTCTTGATCTGTGCCAAAAATAGCAAACGGAGAGAACGTTTCCGAGAAAGCCAACAATTATCAGAAGACAAGTCAAGGTTCCTAGCAATAGATCTGCAGTTTTACTCGCACCAAGACCTCTGTTTTGTTCAGTGTCATTTTTAGAAGAATTAGATTCTGTATCCATGGTAACAGAATTAGATTCTGTATCCATGGTAACAGAATGGCCAGGAAAAGCACTTCCTGTTGGCAAGCCTCCCGGAACCGTAGGAGTCGCATTTGTAGTGGTAAACCTTGTTGAAGTATACGAGTCCGTGGTTATTTCTCTTTTCTGATGTTTGGGTTCTGCTAGTGAGATAAAGTGGAAAAGGAATGCCACGGTCAGGACGTAAAGCTTCATGGTCAAATCACTTTTAACAGCTTGGGGGAATAAACAAGTTAGTAAAGCAATCGTTGTGGAAACAAAATATTGATAACGGTCAATCCTTACATGATGATCGAGTAGTATTATACTACGCGACCGCTTGTAAAAGGACAATACAAGGCCAAAACAACCTTCTAAGTAATCCTATAATGCCTATCAAATTAATCAGCGGCGGAATTAATGTATAACCAACCGTACAAACATATCTATCTACATTCTACAACCTTTGAATTGCTTATCTGAGAAGTTTGAACACAGAAGGTCCAGGTCATCAGCGAATTTCCAATATAATGGCTCTTCTTTAAACAGCTTGACAATCCACAGCTGATAATCTAGAAATACCGGTGTCTTCATAAAGCTACTACTACTACTATTCATAAAGCTGTGCTATATAAAATGGAATGTTCAAAAGGATTTCTCAACAGAAAATAGTACTTATATTATTATGGCGTCCTTTTGTGTGTCCTTTATCACTTTGTTCTAGATCATTCAAACAGATTACAGGAGGTATACTCGATCCTTTGAAAAAGGCCGGTAGCTGAGCACCCCACACTCACAATGTGCGTTTTGTGTCCTGACTCCCTTTACCTGGTCCAGTAATGTTTAGATTGCTTGACCGTGACGATGTATAACATTTTAACAATTAATAAGGCAATAGAAGCAATAAATATTAACAAACGGGTACCGGACACGAGGGCGGAGAACACAAGGGCGGTAGACACAATAGCGGAGGACACAAGGGCATAGGACACAAGGGCGGTACTTTCTTAAAAGGGTGGACACGAAGGCGAATCACACGAATCACTTTAACATGGACAAACGGGTTTTTTGATGTTCTCAACAGTCTGGTTGAGGAAAAGCTTAGCTCGAAGAATTGGATCTACTCACGTGTATGTATATTGTATAAGTATGTAGCCAACTCAGCAGCAGATTTTGAGGTTTGGTAACGTGCTTAGACCAATCAAACACTGCCTAGATGATCATGAGGCAAACTTGGCGTTCAAAATATCGCAGTCGCTGATGCTACGGTTACCCGGGTTTAGATCAGGGGTAGTACGTACCAAAACGGGTATTTACTTTGGGTAGACGAATTTCACTGAGGTGTGTTCACTCAATTTCAAACCATCAATCCTCTCAGTTAAAACGACCATCATTTAGGGCGGTTTTTGTTCCACCCTTTTAGGAAAGTAACGCCCTTGTGTCCTACGCCCTCGTGTCCTCCGCTCTTGCGTCTACCGCCCTTGTGCAGTACTACGCCCTAGTGTCCTATACCCTTCTTTTCTACTTATATTATACTATTATAGTTTAAATATACAAGTTATGAACATACGTATCGCTAAAACCTTAGGCTTAAAATGATACATATTGCTTGCCGAGTTGAGAGTAAAACAACTGCCCTCACGCCGAAAATCCAATATTATAATCTACCTCGCAACTTCACAATTTAGAGATTAGACGGAAATAACCATATTTATAACAGGGCATCATGGTCATTTCGCAGACCCCATTCTTACGCTGTTATTTTTAATCAAATCAAGCAAACGTCAGAAAGTCTAGATTCTAATATGATTACTATTATACTAATCATATTAGATTCTAGATTTTATTCATTTATAATAAACTAGAAAGCCCGTGGTCACAGGGAGGAAGCTAAAATTATTCTTTGATAGTCTGTTTTTATCGCATCAAAAAGTGTCCGTCACAACCGAAAATACAGCCGATTAAAATGTAGCTCGCACTGAAAACAACGTTATTACCACAATGACAAAGTCGATCAAAATAATAATATCGCTCGCAAATCTTTGCACGTGCATGTGCGCCTTCAACACCATTACCATGGTAACTATGCCACTTTTTATTTTTCATCCAATTTGCACGTGGGCGGTCGTACAGACGACAAGTTAAAACAATCATTGCACGTGCACGTGCGTGTAACAACCCTCGTTACCATGGTTACTATGCAAATAGTTAGAGCAAGAGTTGATTTTTCTGTGAACAAATTCGTAACAAAGGTTTGTCTACAGGAATGTGTTGTCCATAGTCCCAGGAACCACCAAACGCCCCACCCCTAATATTAGTTATTCGGCTCCCGAAGGTCTTGAGATCTCCATAGGGGGTGCAAAATGACCGCAATGGCCACATTATGGCAGGCGAATGATAGTTTCAGAACGATTGGGGCTTTAGTTTTCCAGTTAACAGTCTGAATCACCTTGACGACGGCTGGAAATTGGCTCCTGGTGGCACTTACGAACCAGTTGCAACAAAAGCTATAATTGCTCCAGAGTCTATTTTGAACCTTATATGTTGTAGTACTGTTCTGTCGATGTGGAACAGGCCTGTTTGACTTTCAGATGTTCATGTAGGAAATATGGCTTCAATTGTTTGCCAGCTTGTGGACGATGCCATGGTATGAACTGCACAAACATTAGACATGATGAACCTGAAGAACAAGCGAATTTTGATTAATATTAACTGTGTATTAATAATTGTCATGGTATTTACTGAGAATACACATTTTAGATTAACTGTATTTGTTATTTGTAGATGAGTTTTGAAATAGATTTGAAATAAGCGTTAAAAATAATTTGGTGTATTTTTTTTTGAAATTTCAATAAAATTGAGAAAAATTGAGAAAAACTCCATTTATTTCGAAAAATAAAGCCCCAATCGTTCTGAAACTATCATTCGCCTGCCATAATGTGGCCATTGCGGTCATTTTGCACTCCCTATGGAGATCTCAAGACCTTCGGGAGCCGAATAACCAATATTATTATTAGGGGTGGGGCGTATGGGTTCCTGGAGAAAAATGACTATAAAAATTTTTGCCCAAAAGTTTCAGCTGGACGGTTTTTTGTGGTTCCTGGGACTATGGACAACACATTCCTGTAGACAAACCTTAGTTACGAATTTGTTCACAGATTGACCCATAAACAGCAATTCTTGCCTTAACTAAAATTCCTATTTCTCGTCTAATTTGCACGTGGGCGGTCGTACATAAAGAATTCTCTGAATTATAAGTAAGATGGTGACAACTGACAGCATAGTGAACGGGTGTCTTAAAAGCAAGTACTACATGGGGCTTTTAGCGACGCTACACGAAACGAATGACAAATACCTTTCATTTACACCATTGAGTTACTTTATCGTTAGTCACCACTACCAGGTTGAGAGATCTTGAGCGTGATTGGTGAATTCACTAACACTCCAGGTTATTCAATAACATTGTTATAGCGTTACATATTATTCTCAAGAATCGGTGTGAACTGCAATCAAAAGCTTTATGGGCGCTGAAAATTATACATATGTCTCATGATAGAGTTAATAAACTGACATGACGTGCCCCGCATTTATTTCTATAAAGCTTGCATAATCATTGATAATAAGTAGAATAATAGGAAAGATCGACACGGTAAGTTATTTAACTTACTAATATCGGACCTTAATTCTAAAGATTTAATCTTATGACATATCTAGGAACATTTCAAACTTACCAATTTTGCCATGAAAAGAAGAAAGCTATTACTATTGCGAATTATTGGTTTAATTGGCAAGATTAATTTGTATTTAGTATACTACCTCAATGTTAGAACAGAATAACTTTATTATGTATAATATTATTTGTAGTTAAATAAAGGGAGTGATTATGTGGCTCTCTAAATAAATAATATATTCTAACATTTATTGTACGTTAAAATATTCCCAACAATCCATTGTCTGGACTCTGGATTGGGCTGACTTGATTTAGGTCCTATACCAATAAACTCTGTTTTTTCATCATTCATTTTTAGGAATTTAACTGTCATTCATTCTTTTATCTCTAGAAACAACTTTTCACAGCTGGTAAATCAGGATTGGGACTGTGAACATCATAAGCACAGTACAGAGCGGCAAAACAACAAAACGAGAAATACTGTTAGAAAAGATAGAGAGGAAGCCTTGGAGGGCTTAGCTATGGCTGTAGATAGTAGATACTAATGATGCCAGAGGCAACATGTGTCATGTAAGTGCGGTAATATTTTGCAAATAGTGCGATTTCGCACCTGACTGAAACTTTTTTATGTGCGGCAAATTTGGAGAAAAAAGTACCGCAATTGAGCTGAACAATTCGCCAAATTTTCAGCTTATTGTTTCATTGAATTAACTCAAACGTAACGTCTTACACTGAGTTTTCAGAAAATTCAAAATTTGCTAACCTAAAACTATTCTCATAGAGTCATAGAGGGTTAGTTGAGCTGGCAACAATTGAAAAGTAGAGTATTCAATATTATGACTACATAATTTTACAACATAAGATTCCAAAATATTGTGTATATAAGCGGCTAACATGACTTAATTTCCGTGACTTCAGTGACTCAATTCAATTTCATGTGTTTGAACTCATTACAGTCAGCAGTGTTCAAGACAAGGGTAACACTGTTTGATGTAGAGGCAGTTACTTTGTACTTTTGTATCTGCGACTACCTAAGTAGAGAGATCCTTGTTGTTGGTTAAAGAGGACTCTATTATATAATATAGATCTAACTAAAGTTACCTAATCTCAAGAGGGTGTTTTACAGTGATATCGTCACGTTTTGCTTTTGAATAGTGAATAGGCCTGATAACATGGATAAGATGAGGTGGAAAATATCCACTGATTGAGTCGATATTGATAATAGTGTGAAAAGGGGGGAAAATGACTCATTTATCGATTTAGACATCAAAAGATTTAACTTAAAACGTGACAAGCACCAATATGAGGTATTAAGCTTATACTACCAGGACGAGATCTCAAACTTCATGCTCAGAACATCATAACTCTTAACAATCAATAAAATCATAACATCAATATTTGTTATCAACTAATAATATCAGCAGCAGCATGGCATAAAGCTGATAACGATACCCTAAGAGGAAACTGTTACGCTCACAAAATTAAAGAGAACGTTTGGCAAGTTAAGCTGTGCGAATGTTACCGTTACCATAGCAACGAACTACATCAACAACGTTAGAAGGAAGTGTGTGCGGACATGATATGATTAATGAGCTATCAATAGTAAAACTACCTCCATCAGTAGGCCGTGTTATTACCTTTTGTGTGGCTGCGCCGATAAAGGCCATTAATCGTCGAGAAATTACCTGATTTTGTAATGAATTTATAGTCCCAATCGGCACAGATAGAGCTTTATTCATGAATTGAACTTTTTTTGTACAATCGAGCACGCGTATTTATCATCTTAAACGAGCAAAACAATTGCTGGTGTTAAAAATGATATTACACAAACGATCGAAGTTGAATTTATATAAAACAAAACTACCATAAAACGTTCTGGAGTGGCCGACATAGCTGACTTACTGAATGACTTACTGACATTAACATACTAAACGTTCATTTACTTTTTGAACACCAAAAAAGGTCAAGAAAATAACTGTTGCATGACATGGGTAAAACATTCTGGAGACGTTGTAACGTGACAATCAAGTAATATATGAACTAGAAGTGACACTTCTTGGCGTACAGTTCTTCTTTTTCTTATAATATGTTCAACACAAGTACAATTATTCAAATGATAAAGTGACATGTTTTATACTAACGTACGCACAATAATCACAACTACTAACTCAACCTGGAGGAATCGGAAACCTTACTCCTGATTAATTCTCTTAAGAATATAACTGGTCATACGTGAGATCACATCAGAGCGATCAGGTATTATTATTCGAATTTAAAGATAACAAGAAGCGATTGAGATAGAATAATAGATATTATATAATAAAATGTTATTATGTCGAATGGGAAGGGCCGATCAATAATGATCAGCGACCAAAGTATTTCATTAATAATGATATTATAGCCACCATAGATGACTACGATCATGGGGACAGGAGAGGTGGCGAAACTTGCAAGATTGTTTGAATTTTGTCACGTGATAATGAGTCTGAAATCCGATTGGTTGATGCTTTGAGCTGATCGATTAACCGCTCTACGCAACAAAACAAGCTCGTGCCACAACCCAATGATTATCATCATCTACATCAAGTTCGCGAGTTGTTTAGCGAACAGTAGTACTGAATCAGTACTACTGATCTCAGTCACACGACAGTTAAAAAGGAGCACTAAATTTGCCCCATTTCCCCTCCCCGATGAAACCGTACCATTTCCATGATAGACTTGTTGCAAAAATACTGATTTAGCTTGAAGTTCATAAAATATACAGGGTGGGCCGAAAGTCAGTACCCATACGTTGGCCTTAATAGCTCCGCCGTGTTTTATATTTGAGAGCTGTTGCTTTGCAGATGGCATACTGTACTTACTGGTTCGAGGATTCCGTCGTCAAAATTTGAAAATTCGAATATTTTAGACCACGCCCATTCAATATTAAAACACCTATATTGTTTTCTCTGAACATGCTGAACGCCTAATTTTTTCAGAGACGGTAGATTATCAAATGTTGCATATGAACTGAAAACATGAGGCAAAACGGATTAGAAATGACGAAGTTATCAAGCATTTTCTGTATCTCGTTAACAATATTGACTGGGTGATTATGTGACACCGTGACACGACACCTTAATTGGGCACCCTTAACAATTCCCATAATGTTTAACGGGGTAGTTAACGGGGGCACCTTATCACGTGATTAGGTAAACCAATCACCTGATCACACGTAATGAATAAACTCGTTATGCTTCATATCTCGGTCATCTGAGAAGCTACAGTTAGTTCTAATTCTTTCAGGACAAACGTAATTCGAATGGCCAAACACAATTCAATAACATTTAGCTTGATCCGACTATCCAAACTATCAAATAAATGTGAAAATGAACCTCCATTTGAAAAAAATGAACGCGAATATTTTTCGAGTTGGCAAATTCCTTGAACCAGTGGTGGTACTAAGTCATACCAGAAAGAAGTATTTAAATTGGGCACTCAGTGACTGAGCTATAAAGGCCAACGTATGGGTACTGACTTTTGGCCCACCCTGTATATACAGTAAAACCCCGACTCACCACATACCCCGATACACCGCGGCCATTTCCTTTCCCCCCAAATAGGGCTAAACAGTAAACATACATAATTAAACCAAACAAAACCAAACGTTAAACAGTTTACGCTTTAAAGCTGCCTCCCCCTCCAGACATCTGCTTCCATTTGAAATTGTATTAAAACTTTACCACAAGAATTTAATTTGGGCAAAACTTAAAAGTTAAATTTCTTGTTTTACGGTTGGCTGTAACTATTTACCTAGTATAGTTGTGTTCCATGTCTCGTAGCTGTAATTCGGATCAAAGTCGGCGGAGGTCAGGTCATCGTCCATGTCAAACCCAAAATCATCCTCAAAATCATCCTGAAATATCAGATATATAAGATTACATTGCGATCAGTCATATTTCCAATTATTCAATAATATGATCACTAAATTGTCAACAATAGAAAATTTAACTTTGCACTTAGGTGCAACAACCAACGCCACCGCAACGCCAACTGTTAATAACGCTATAGGCATTTAAGCATTTAGTTGAGAATTATTCTACATGGTGGCAGTAAAGTGGTGACATGGTGGCAGCATGGTGATGGTTAAGTGGAAGTAAAGTGGCATCGTTCGTCTTACCGTAGCCTGCATCCATCTTTTTACCACAGATTAACATTGTTAAAAGGTCATTCAACAAAAATAAGATATAAAATATGTGTTCTACCTCTTCCGTTATTTCAGATATCAAGGATTCCTCTCTCTGCCTCTCTGCTAACACAGATTGAACGGTAGGTACTGGCGCTATCTCTATCGACTCCAGCTTCCAATGTTCTTCCTGGGACATTTTGCTGGTTTTAACACGTTTAAAATATTCATAACAACTTCACTGTAGGGCTCTACATGTTCAATTCGTCAGCTAGGATGGTTTTGTAGAGCCATAAATATACAAATATAGCGACCATATTTTAGTAATATTAAGTAGAAACCACATAATCTTTAATCTCATTGGATTGCTGTTCAGGTTTGAGCATGCAAGAGAGCCGATTATATTTCTAGTGCATGTATAAACTACAAATCAGCACTGCATTAACATCAGCACACCTGGCTTATGCAGTTCAACATTGATTAATGTCGTGGATTGTATCAGATTCGTGAATTTAATAAATTTTCTGAATTTCCAATACATGTGACTACACTTTGACTATAACACTGTGACTACACTGTGACTACATTATGACTACATGTGACTACACTCAATTACCTGTCCGAAAGTTCCAATGCACATGCCGTCAGGAGCCCAGAGTTTGAGAGAGCAGTCACTGCTGGCACTCACTATGACAACCCTGTTACCACGGACACACACCTCCACCTCCGTGATGCATTCCCCGTGCCCCGTCCACTGTCTGTAGATCACTGAGGGGGCAAGTTTTAAGTTACTTTAACAGTGTAGGTACTGGCTTGGAAAATGACCTTTAGTCGCATCCACGGTTAACATAAAGAACCTGATCATATCCCTTATAAAAACGGGATATTAATAACTTATGTAATTAAATAACTTATGTAATTAATACATAATAACTTATGTTATAAGTTAACTAATAAGATAGTTACTACGAGCAGGAACTGACCAGGTTTAAGAAGGGGTTCAGCTTCCTCATCCAGCACAGTGCCATCACAGAACCCTTCAATAAGCCAGGTCTTCATTTCTCCGGAGGTGTCGGCCGTCACTAACAGGTGGTTTTCTGGATCAACTGCCATTGTGATGCTGTCAACGTTAGGGTGCGCTATGAACTCTCCCTGAAGTTGAGATATTTAACGTTAGGGTGCACTATGAACTCTCCCTGAGGTTGAAATATTTAACGTTAGGGTGCGCTATGATTATGAACTCTCCCTGAGGTTGAAATATTTAACGTTAGGGTGCGCTATGAACTCTCCCTGAGGTTGAAATTTTATAAGAAATTTTATAAGAGGTCGTACAGCATGTGTTTTTAATATGTTTTCAACATACCCAAAGTCAAATTTATGGTTGATTTCGGGGAGAACCCCTCGCCCGGTTACACTGTTACAGGTCACTCCATTTCTTCAAACTAAGTCGCTTGAAATAAATAAAGTTACGACGGAGTTGTTTGAAACTAAATATTATACAATTAATGCCGTAATTACATTGTGACCGATGCAAGCCTCCCTTGCGGGTTATTAAATAAAAATTTAATACTTTCCAGAGAGCCGAAACCTAAATTTCCGACCAGTGCAAGTGGGCGGTAAGATAGTGCCAAAGATATTTAACAAGGGTGATTTAACGAAAAATTTGAATTCATTTGAAACGTAAGTGGTCCGTACCGCTATTTGTAGAACGATTTTAATTACGGCAATTGTTTCATTTTAAGAAAGAGTTACAGGAGTACAGAGGAAAATTGTGCATTTAACGATTATAATTTGAATCATTTCAATCGTGCTCACTGCTCAATGGGAATTTCAATCAATAATTTTATCTGGCTAGCAAATTAAAAGTTAAAACACCTGGCAGCACACGAATATAAAAGTAAGAAACAATGCCCATAAATCAGTAGCCAGAAAATATCGTTTTTCATCAAGTTGTGCACCAACTAATCTCATCCTTTGATACCATCATGGCCATCAGCCAACTCCTAACCATATTATCAGGTAAACGTAAATTCATTATTAAGTCAAATGTTCGCAAAAAACCAATCCAAAATTTAGATTGTATCATGAACCTTTGCTACTGCTTAATTCTGATACTTAATAGTTATTTCAGCGTTCATTCTTGCTGGATGTCTTCAAGTTAAAGGAACACAGCTGGCCTCTATAAATGAAACACTCTTGAGAAAAGGATTAGAGGCAGGGAGAAAACTAGAAATATATGCTGGAGGGAAGGCATCAGACAAATTGAAAAAGTGTTCACAAAACGATGTGGTCAAAAGAGATTATTTAGGGACTACCGGTGGGAGAACCTCAGGTTATTGTTCAATAATTGCTTGATTATGTTACAGTTAACCCTGATTTACCGCGGAGTGAAAGGAAACAGGAAAATCGGGGGTTATCGTATTATAATCACTTCGTTATAAGCTAGTAATTTTTGAAATTGTTTAATGGATTTATCAATCGAAGCAATCAAATTAATGACTAACAGTAGTTAAAAAATAAATGGCATTTAGCTCAAAAAAAGAAAAGAATGAATTTAACAGCAACTTCTACTAAACATCATTAATTCTCTTCAGGGTTACGCCGGTTACAGACAGGGTCACAGACAAGGTTACGGACAGCTAAATGTCACTGCTTCGACACAAGCGAAGAACAAGACCTCAGCAGCTCATACTTAAGCAAAATAAATCTTAAAAAAGGAGTGAATAAATTTGGTTGCGGGTGGAAAAGGAATGAGGACAAAAGAAAGATTAGCGTGTGCTGTTTCTTCAAGGAAACGTAATGTCAATGATGATTAATATGAACGATTAAATTATTTTTTAAATTATTTTAAACTAGTAAAACACTCGAAATAGTCGGACAGAAGAATAGTTTCATGTCTACCCGTCTGTTACGAGAGAGATGTCTATTTAGAGTGCTTCACTAGTTTGAAATATGATGCTCCCGCTTTTCAGTTGAGCACTTTTCTGAACATCCAAGCAACACTATATTATACAATTTAAACGAAAATTCATGTGACACTAATGTCAGAGTAATTTGTTCACTCATAATGAAGTTTGGTGTTTTATTTTGTATTCTGTAACCAAGTTGTGATTCGCAAATACCTATTATTTTAAATAAGGATCGAGAAATCATACTGATCGTCAGCTTCTTAGAAAATTTTCACCGACGAAATAGTTTCTCCAGAAATTTACGGTACATTCGTGCAGTCTGAAACTTAAAGTTGGGAAACTGTAATAGATGTCGAATTTCGGAGAAATTGTGACCAATAGCTCTGAGAAAGAGCGGTTCGCGAATTCTTTTAATCAAATTTTTAAAAAGTGCACAGTTACATGATGAGGTGATATTTTTTTGCCAATAATTCAAAAAGAATTGAAATACTAGTAACATCTTAAATCCCAAAAACTTCATCTACTTCACCGCAACATAAAAATAGATTCCATCTGCATCAATTTCTATCGAAGGAATGTTTGGTGGCTATAATAAAACAGCTTGATATATAACAACAGGAAACGTATTACCAAGTGAACCCCGACTCACCTCGCAGCTACCACTGTGTAAGTTCCAGAACCGGACCCAACCGTTCTGCCCGCACGTCACCAGAGCTGCCTCTTTCGGGTTCTCTAGCCTTGTTTCCAGTATCAACATCATTTCAACTGTACTCTGCAAACGGTTAATTATATTACGTCTTTGAAACGAGGAATAATTCAGGGAAAGCAGCTGCTTAATAAATGCCATGTGATTAGTTCGTGGAAGATTGAAAAGGACACCGAAGACAGCAGCTGCTGGAGTTGATAGAACATGAATATTTAATTAACTGTAGAGTACAAACATACCTGTGTTTTCATAGCTTGACTGGAGCGACTCTCTAGTTTCATTATCTTATTCTCACTGTTTGGGTTCCATAGCACTATCTCTCCATTCGCACTAGCTGTAGCTAAGTGTCCTAGTAATGAGAAGGGTTGATAATAAACGCCATTACAAACTTCAGGGCGGCAGGTAAAAGAAATGCGCTGAGCTACACTCTAGTCTAAAGGGGACAACAGTTTTCTCAATATACCTACTGTAATAAAGTGGCAAAAGAAAGCCCCTGCGGCCTGCCTCCTCCCTTAAACCCCTGCTATATACCCTTAAACCCCTGCTTTTACCCCTTAAACCCCTGCCATCCCCCTTAAACCCCTGCCCTTTACCCCTTAAACCCCTGCTTTTACCCCTTAAACCCCTGCTTTTACCCCTTAAACCCCTGCCCTTTTCCCCTTAAACCCCTGCCCTTTACCCCTTAAACCCCTGCCCTTTACCCCTTAAACCCCTGCTTTTACCCCTTGAACCCCTGCTTTTACCCCTTAAACCCCTGCCCTTTATTCCTTAAACCCCTGCCTTCCCCCTTAAACAGTTAAACCCCTGCCCGTTACCCTTTAAACCCCTGCCCTTTACCCCTTAAACCTCCGCTTTTACCCCTTAAACCCCTGCCCTTTACCCCTTAAACCCCTGCCCTTAACCCCTTAAACCCCTGTTTTTACCCCTTAGGCCTTAAACCCCTGCTTTTACCCCTTAAACCCCTGCCCTTTACCCCTTAAACCATAGTTGGTTCGTGCGCACTTAACGTACTTTTAAAACATAACGCACTTAACGTACGAAAAAACGTAAAACGCACTTTTACCTACCCTCGCACGAACCAACTATGCCTTAAACCGCTGCCTTCTCCCTTAAACCCCTGCCCTTTACCCCTAAAACCCCTGCCCTTTACTTAAGGGGGCAGGGGGGGGTCCTCATGGAAATTTTCTTAAAATCGATTTTTTAGTTGTTTCTAATAGAGGGGAGTGATGTCTATCAGATGCTTTTAATCCCATAGAAAAATATTGTTCCTAGCCGAAATTATTGCCGGTCAAAGGTCAGCGCTTGTGTGTAATTGTATTGCGCAAGGGATTTTTGATCGCGCGTCCTGAAAATCGACTCTAAAAATCTATCTTCTCCTACATATTTTGAGCAATCACTCTGAAACTTTTAGGATATGTTCTAGGGACCATTTAGAAGAAATAAGCCGGATGGAATTCTGAGATAGGCCCTTAAACATTTTTTATTCGATTTTGAAAATCTTGGACCTCGTTTTTTGATGATTTTTCGAGGTCCAAGATTTTCAAAATCGAATAAAAATTTTTTAAAGGCCTATCTCAAAATTCCATCCGGCTTATCTCTTCTAAATGGTCCCCAGAACATATCCTGAAAGTTATATGTTTTTTGATGATTTTTCGAGGTCCAAGATTTTCAAAATCGAATAAAAATTTTTTAAAGGCCTATCTCAAAATTCCATCCGGCTTATCTCTTCTAAATGGTCCCCAGAACATATCCTGAAAGTTTCAGAGTGATTGCTCAAAAAATGTAGGAGAAGATAGATTTTTAGACTCGATTTTCAGGGCGCGCGATTGAAAATCGCTCGCGCAATACAATTACACATGAGCGCTGACCTTTGACCGGCGATAATTTCAGCTAGGAACAAAATTTTTCCATGGGACCAAAAACATCTGGTAGATATCACTCCCCCTTATCAGAAACAACTATAAAATAAATTTCGAGAGAAATTTCATAAAGACCCCCCCCCCCCCCCCTGCCCCCTTAAGAACTATACTTGGTAGACGGGCCCTGTTCTAACCTGGTGCATGGTAAGCAGCACACATGATGTCCTCAGAGTGGGGTGGCAGACAACTGAACCCAATTGAACCTAGTTCCCACGCAGTTAACAGGCACCCAATCAGCTTAATTGGGTGACCAATCAGCTTAAATCCCAAAACGACAACTGAACCCAGGTCATATCACAACTGCACCCAATTGAAAATACGACAACTGAACCCAAGGAAATACGACAACTGAACCCAACGATCGGATTTTCAGTGATATGACTGTGGTCATTATCACTATAGGATAGATCATGACCACTGTAATTTAGAGCATTGGAGCCCTGTGCTAATGTGCTTACCCCGGTAAAATATTAATACATACATGCTACATGAAGATTGAAGAGGTCTCCTCCTAGTCGTTGGAGTGGCCTGCATCACACACATCTCTTCTACGGTGCATTTGTTACCTGTTACTAATCAATCCACAGGATCAAAATGTTTATTGTATCGATAAAAATGGATTTGAAGGCATAAGGAAGCATTGTTGAGTTCTGAAACCAAGTTTAATCGATTTCTCGTGCAATTTTAGGTCAGGAGTGGTAATCAAAATAAATTTTGAACAAAGTCGATATTTTGGTAAATTTCTAGCTCCAGAAAATAAATCTTCGTTCTATTAGGGGTAATTGGATGTAACTACAGTACAGCTGTACTTACACACACTTTCACAAGCATGCAAGCTCACCTGGTCCAAAGAGCGGGAAACGGAGAACGAGCTCTGGTGACGTCATAGTCACGTGACCTCAGGCTCATAATCACGTGACCTCAGACCCAATCAATTGGGTTCTGGCCTGTTCAGCCCCCTGTCACCCGATCTTGAGGTGACGTACGACAACTCGTTAACCCAATCGATGTCTGGAGGGCTGCAAATTTTCACATGCCAAACTCACAACGGTTTTTCGGAGTTGTGCGAGATGACGACACATAGAGGCCGCAGAATTATGAGGACTACCAGATCCTGGTGGAAACCTCCTCACCGAAGCCTTATCTACATGCCCATCCGAAATCACGAGCAGATAAGTCCGGATCTGCCAACCACTCCGAAGCACCAACCTCAACAGACCGAAATTATAGCACTAGAAACCAGGCTAGAACGGTATTTGGAAACCTGTTAAACTGTTAGTGATTTCTAGTGACGATTGGGTTCAGTTGTCGTTTCAAAGTTAATTAGGTAGTCTGATTGGGTTTATAATTATTTTCCCAAGCTACCCTGTCTAGGAAACGTCCAAATTGGGTTCAGTTGTCCGGTAGCCTCAGAGTGGGGACCCTGTTCTAACCTGGTGCATGATAAGCAGCACACATGATGTCCTCAGAGTGGGGACCCTGTTCTAACCTGGTGCATGATAAGCAGCACACATGATGTCCTCAGAGTGGGGACCCTGTTCTAACCTGGTGCATGATAAGCAGCACACATGATGTCCTCAGAGTGGGGACCCTGTTCTAACCTGGTGCATGGTAAGCAGCACACATGATGTCCTCAGAGTGGGCCCTCTTCCCGCTCCACTCATCAGGGGTTATGTTAAAGTCACTGCTCATTAGCTGCTTGTCTCTGAAGACGCAGATATCACGTTCCCAGCCCACTGCTATCACTCGCCTCTTTATACAGAGGACCTGCAGCGCAGTACGTCATCAAACACGTGTTAGTCACGTGATTACTGTTTTTAATGAATTTAATCCTCACTCCTGTTTCAAATCATTTGAATAAGAACGTGATGGTTTGTTTTTCAAACCAGCCTTAGACCGGAAATCCAGCTGTAAAATATCACAGCTTATGAATGAGTTGATTAAGAAGTAACTTGTAGAAAATCAAAGAAATAAAATAAATTACGTAAATTTAAAAATTCAAATTTAAATAAAATTTTTAAAAATAAGAAGTAACCTGTAGAATATCAACAGGGCCCTCTCTCCCAGCCTGTAGGACCCTGTGACAGGCGGTTGTGTTGATGTCCCAGATCTTGATGGTCCCATCACTGCTTCCTGAGAGGAGTTTACTGGGGAGGTCTATCACCATCGCTGTTATCTCAGACTCTCCGTGTGCGTTTGTGATCTGCCAGGGGTTTGTTAGGATACGAACATATCATTTTTATCAGAGAAAATTATATCCTGAAACCAGTTTAGCCGTTTAGGATCGGTAATATTGTAGATTCAGATACTATTGGGAATGTGAGACTGCGAGAGGTTGTTAACTGTGTAGTAATTGTAAAATTGGGAGAAACTTACAGTTACAGTAGCCAAAAGTTGAAATACAAATAAATGCAGTTCAACGAAAGTAGTAAATGTACCTGTTTGAGTTTCTGTCCGGTGTCGATGTTCCAGAGTGTGATTGTGGACCCCTGACAGGCTGAGGAAACCTGGTAGAATGGAATCTAGGGGGAAGTCTAAATATCAATAATCAGCTAATTAAGATAATTAAGATTCACACTTTATAATCAGTTAATTAAGATGCACACTTTATTTTGAATACATTATTTTCAAGAATTATAGATAAAATTGTAGACTTCAAGGTTTGGTTCTTTTGTGGGGTCTAAGAATAGATCGAAGTTTGGTTTTGTTCGGGATTACTGAACCTCGATTGCAGCCAAGAAAGAAAATACGTGACCAGTGGAGTCCATGGAAAAGTTAAGTTTAGCAATCAGTCACAAAATAATATGCTGTAGTTTGTGTGGCGGGGTATGAGTTTGATAATGAAATAGTTGGCTTCATAATTAGAGTGATTCTCTCTTAGAAACTGCCATTTTATAGAAATTAGAGACTAAAATAATTATTAACTATTTAATTCGCGTTTTTGACACCACTCGGGGGTCCAAATTTTGGGCTCTAACATTCCTATTCCTTGGCCAATTTTTTATTTTTCATGCTGATTTGGAGGCCATTAAAGCATTTGACCCAGTCAAAAAAGTTTCAGTTGTATATCTTTTACAGTTTTTGCGGAAAGTCGCGTTAAAGTTGATGCCGTGGTGTCAGTAAAATGGTACGGATAAACACATATATATATCAAAAAGCACATATTACCATACATCGGGATATTGTTCATTGAAAGCGGGTTCGACAGTTGAACAACTTTAGGTACATACTTTAGGTATGTATACTTTAGGTACATACTTTAGGTACATACTTTAGGTACATATTTTAGGTACATACTTCGAAAATGAACATTGAACATTTGTGTGATTATAAAATATAAACGAATGATCTCAGCGGCATACAAAATTAGTTTACATTTTTCTACATTTATTAGTTTCATATTGAGCTCGAGTTTTTATACCACATACCATTTCCAGTACATCGGATTCTTTCTTTACCACAATGTTTTAGAATAAAAACACTGTATTATTTAATAAATAAATCATGATATTATATATTATTAGTTAATTTACAGATCTACAGATCTACTACTAAAGTCTAAAACAGCACTTTTCAATGATTATGTCCGGGTAGGAATGCAGATTGCAGCGTTTCCGATCCCTTGGAAAACCTTTAAGATCGCCCTTCCAATTCCTCTAAGACTAAGTGAACTCCTGATGTATTCATTCAGTCCTGTATTCCTTGCAATGTAAATCAAAGGATTGATCAAAGACGTAGCTGGCATCATCACTAATTTTGTTGTGTACATTGCAATATATCTATCTTTATCTTGTAGCATGCGCAAGATTTCTTCAGTATCTTTCAAAGGCTTTGCCAAGAACTCAAAGGCCAAAGTGAGAAAAATGGCGATATAGGTACCATTGATAATGATGAAGACCAAGGACAGTAGAAGTACCATGACAGTAGCTCTTCTGTTGTTTGAATTATCAGGTAGCCCTCCAGGTCCCACTATTTCCACTATAGGTGAGTTGAGGGCTCTAACGGTTAATGCACTGCACACCGCCACTACCAGTACCATCACTCCAACCAAGATAAATTCTATCGTTTCGAGTAACGTCACAATTGTCCAACTTTCGAATACCTTCATATCGACACTGCTTGTGTCTTTGAACATTTTTACCATCATTTCTTCATTGAAAAAGGAATTTAAGAAGGATTGAAGTGCAACCCATTTAACGATCTTTTTACTAAACATAAAGGTTACAGCGATAATAAGAGCACCCCAAACCATCTTCTGCCGAATAATATAAAGCGGTTTTAGCAAAGCTACCATTCTTGTAGCACTGAGAAGGACTGTTAAGAAGCAAGAAACTTGCACTAGAAACTGAAATGGATTATAACAAACTAGATTCCACACCACACTATACGCTTTGTATGTCCTAAATATTCTGGATTCTTCAGCGGGCTGTGTCTCCGTTCCATTGGTTTCACTAACAAATTTAATGAATTCCGCTTCTTTTCTGTTCGCCCCATTAAAGTAGAGTATGATAACCGGGGATATGAGACAGACAAACAGATCACAAATGTTTAGAACGATTAAAAGTTTGTTACCCAGTCCCTTTTTCTGCTTCCTGAGGTTTAGACGAGTAAGATATATTTTCAGTTGGGTGCATTGGGTATACCAAATACCAATCTTAGGTTGAAAACTTAAAATTTGGAATCTAATCATATACCAGAACTTATTACATATTATGTTCTTTTTAATTGAATATAATACCTGATGAAGAATGAGAATGATATTCCATTAGCAAAAATCCCAATGACCGATAAGCCACAAATTGTGACTCCAGAAATCCATGCAAACTGTCCAGAAAAGAAGAAATGGTTGTAAGGATCGCTCATTGCGTAATAGCTAGTGATTTTTCCACTGGGCGATTTCGCTGGCAAATTCTAAAATAACCCACAACATAACGAGTGATCGAAGTAAGACAAGTTGAAAGTTATTAGAGTCCAATTATATAGTAATAATCTGAACTCTACTCGAGGGAACCTTTGCACGTGGACATTATATTATCATATTACAGCTGCAATGACCGGTGTTATGAGCTATCTTACTAAATATAACACTGTAAATCTAGCTCTCCGATAGTAAACATCCCAGAGAGCTTAATAAGTCCTGCAAATGGGACAAATATTTAAAATCTTAAAAAGATGTAAAAATAAAGCTAGGATAAAACTTATCCTAGCTAGTAATCTTACTGGGATTCATAAACCCTCCCCTCGTGATCATTCACTTATGTTCTGTGCTGTCCGGCTGGAGACTTACAGTTTACATACCACATATTGGCAATATGTTATAACAATATTGATATTATATTGATAATTTAGATTGGTATGCTTGCTGGTTGATTAGACCTATGATAGATTGTTTTCTTTATAACACGATGGGCAAAAAATCGGTAAACTGATAAGTTCGAAATCGGAAACATTAAAGGTGACACAATTTTAAAAAAGCATTGCATCATTTACTGCAACTGGACCGACTTTAAGATAGGATGATCACAGCGGCATACCAAATTCGTTGGTATGGTACTTTTCAATAGATGTCATATCTATTGAAACACATATTATGAGGCAGTAGCACTAGTGGGATGAATAAATACATAGCCTCTTTTTGTGGTCAGTGGTCAGTGGTCAGTTGCAGTCCGACCATTTAAATCATGTTCTGTGATGATACACCCGCTATACCACATATTTCACCCGTTCCCGGGTGGCCCTTTATATTCTTACTGTCGAAGTACCAAAGGGCTACATACAGATTGAGATGCCCTGAGTCTAAGGCCCCTCCTTTTTTGCTCATCGTACAATTCAATATAATCACGTCACAACCAAGGACATGGTCACACACACTGTATCCAGTATTCCAAAGTCAATCTGCATACTGACATAAAAAGTCTGCTTACAAGCAATCCATGACGTATCATGTGACCTGCCAAAGACAGAGAATGAAAATGTAACGATTGTTTGCTGATGAAATGATGGATGACACAATTGTAGAATCTAAATACATTTGATGGAATGAGTTAAGAGTAGTGTATAAGTATAACTGCATGTTGCACCTGGATAACCACTTGAAACACAAGCACAGACCCACAAGCACACCATCCAACATTGACAAGCAACTTATTAACTGCTTTATCAACTGTGCAGTAAATAATCACACATTTTAAGTCGTGAAGGGAGAGAGGACATTTTCAGATTAGAGTTAGATAGAGTTATGTAATTTGGGGATTATTTCATTATTTCAAAAGTATTTAGACGATATCAAAACATCATGAAAAAAAAAGAGACCTGTTTGGTTCTGCCAATATATTTAGTACAGGTTATGGGTTTCTCGTGACTGAGTATCCTGTCTTTCATCTCTGGTTTCATGTCCATGATGGAGAGGAGATTGTTTGAGCTCATTATCAGCCGGTTCTTGGGCTCGTCGAACAGGAGTGTCACGGGTACAGGTGAGTACAGAACTGAGGATGGGGAATATTTGAAGCTCTATGGACACCAATAAATACAATCTTATTCGTTCGCACTAATTGAATAGCAACGGATCTAGTATTCACATAATTTCAAAACAACATTACCATCGGCACTTACCATCGGGACCCTTAGCAAGGATGCCAGTAAGTCTCTGAAGACAGGCTTGTCTCTGAACATCCCAGATTCTAAACGTCTTGTCCATGCTGAGACTGATTAGTTGACCTCTGCTGCCGTTCAGTATTACGTGTGTTACAGATGTCATGTGACCTCCTAGGACCTGGATGAGTAGCACGTTTAAAGCACTGGTTTACTACACAGTGCTGTTTAAGCACTCTGTCCTTCATAGATTTTCCTATTGCTATTGGATTCAAAGTTATTTCCTTATATATTAAACGGATTTAAAATTATGAAAGTGTCCAAGATAATCTCTTTAGGAAATCCATACAAAATAATCTTTAACACCAATTCTGTAGATGGTTAAAACAACTAAAATAGTTAAATAACATACGCCAACAGGCTTCTTAACGTAAGGATTCCACAGTCTGACCATGAGATCTACATCACCAGTAGCAATAATGTTCATGTGCGGGTTGTAGTCGAAACAATTAACCCCTTGAGGCACGTTAAACGCAGTCCTGCGGGTACAAGCTGGGTACAGGGTTAATTCCTTAACGTTTTGTGGGAGTTCAACTCAATAAGAACAATTTTCAAGCAGCCAGTTTTGTTTATCCTAACGTCATCAAGTTTAAGTTCATTTGAAAACTAGTCAACGCCATTTTCCATAACAAATAATCAAGATCTCAGCGACTAACGTTCTCATGAGTGTTTTGTTTTTCTCTTTCATCCCCAGGACCAGTGAATTAGTACTGGTAGTTGAACAGCTTATTATCAAATCCAAATGTGGAGCATACATCACTGACGAAAGTTCCTCTTTGTTTATATTATAAATTAACAACTCTCTTTAAATAATATGATTTTCTAAAGACTTTAAATTTAATAAGTCAATTTGTATTGATATCCTGATTTAATTTCATTGGTTTTAGACAGGTAAAGGAGGATTATATCCTACCTTTCCTAGTCCACCCAGAGTGACCTCTGTGAGTGACTACTTTAACATGTTCGTAATGTCCTGCTAGGATCTTATCGTACAGCACCTCTGTAACATCTGAAACACGGTATCTATTGAAGCAACTGTAAACTAAGCAGGAGGATTGAAAGATCATCTGAACATAATGAACAGTTTGATTAGATAGACTCTTTTCGTTAGTAAGAGGCATACCTTCACCGTCACTATCGGATGAGGGTCTGGAGGTAGGTTCAAAAAGGTTGGGAGAGTCTGTTTTGTCGAAGAGGAAGGCAGTTACATTCCCATGAACATCACCGTAGCAGAGAATAGATTCACTTTGACTACTCCTGCAGCCATGATCTTTCAGACTCAGTAATACACAAACAATAATTGTGAGTTACTATAATAATGTAATGATAATAATTATAACTGAAAATCACCACTATTAGACTCAGTCTATGAAAGTTCAAATGAACTATAATTAACTTAATGAAGATTAGGAGTTTACCATACCAGTAATGCAGAGAGAGTGGGGCATATGGAAGTCCTTGTATACGGCAGGTACATGATGTGCCTTTCTTTGACTGTAGGTCGTATATCACTGAAATTCAACAAAATAAAACAGAGCTCTATAACTGACGATTCGTTTTGCCACTTTTTTATTCTATTGAAGTAATGAAATGTTGGGACATGCTAATTCTGAAAATAGACTCACTAATTTCTTTGCTGGTGCTTGCTATGGCTATTTTGTGTGGAAGGTTATGCAACACAGCCATACTGGTTATCCAAAGATTTCTTGACTTCACTAAACCACTCTCCACTTTGAGTGTGTTGGTCATCCTCATTTTCATGTCCCATATCCCGATCATACCTTCCTGTTTGGGTTGACAATTGAACTAAAGACAAGTAATTTGGTTGAAAGTTTGTTGGCTAGCCACAGTTTTACATCATGATATAGTTTGTCATCTTTTGAAGCAATTTGTAAATAATAGCTTTGAATCATGTATATACCTTGCTGATGGTGATGTATCGTTTTGGGTTCTGCAATATATCGACATGTTGAACTGTTTCTTTGTGAGGGCTACCAATAGGACGGTGTCGCTGCCACTGAGGAACCTGACAGGAAAAACTTGTTTAAAAAAAGATGACTATTTCAAACTTAAGATAGTATCGTTTTAACTCAATAACGACTGATAAAAATACATACAGTCGACATAATTGTCTGATTTTCAAGAAATGATATCAAATTTACGTAAAACTCCTTTATTAGTACTAGGCTAGAGTAGAAAATATTTTAGTAACAACCTTTGTTGCTTTCATTTTATCATCTTTTTCATAAAACTGCCGCAGAAGATGAGAACAGAACATGTCCTGTGAGAAATTATTGATCAACTTGGTAGACCATGGTAATCTTTTATTTACATTTAATCAAAACTGAAGAATGAAGATACTATATTGTCAATGATAGGTAGTTTGCTATCGTGATAAACTATTAGATTAATCAAGAAACATGAACACGAGTTCTCCAAAACTTACCCAGTCAATATGACCTTCTCCTGCCACATCTACTTGCAGGTAGAGTTCTTTCAACTGAATAAATTAACTTTAGAATGAAGCCATATGTATACATTGCTTATCATATTTTAAACTGTTTATAGTGGAAGGCAACAAATTAATTTATTGAAGTAGAATAGGGACGATGCATTACTAGTGCCCTCAACAAATATCCTTACTTGCTCTTCATGAGTTGATCCAAGTATTGTCTGACATGCCTCTCTAAATTCAGAGTATGATATTTTATCTGATCTTCCCTCAGTTATATCCTGGGGTTTTAAACGTTTAATGTACCGTGTGCAATTATTATGATTTGCTTTTAAAAGTTTAATAAAATAGTTAGTCTATATAGGAATCATTAGTACTAATGGCTAATTTAAATGATCTCAAGATTAATATGTTAGCTAAGTGTATTGTAAAATCCAAATACTTCAATAAAAGATCATTGATACTTACAAGGAATGCATCCTTTAGATCTAGAAGATCCCTTATGTTCAAACCATCTTCAAGTTTAATGTGTCCTTTGACAGCAGCGCTGCAACAAATTTGGCATTAACTCCGAGTCAGTGAATAATATTTAGCATAAAGTAATAGATTTCAATAACAGATGATCCTGACAAACAGAATATACTAAATTAACATTATAAATATTGATTCACTCGGTTAAGGACTTATGCTACAATTGATCTGATTTGTTAGTTCAAATACATACCCTGACGTTTCCTCGCGACGATTAACAAGAACGGATGAATCAGCAGACGTCATCATAAAATACTGTCATGATTCATGATCCTAGAGAGATGTAGCACTGTGAGAATCCTTGTACGGTTTTGTTAGTTTTCTACACCTTGAGAAAAGACAATTTTATTATTTTTCCCTAATCAACCAATACAATCAATTAAGAAAAGACAATTTTTGAGGGTTTGTATATGTATGATGTGATCAACAGGTGTTAAATGAATGATCCTACAAAAGGAGGGCATTTCATTGGACTTTCCTAGTCAGAGATTGGGAGGAACATGATGAAGTTTAAGTCCTGCAAGTTTATAACATCATGTTGGTGCTATGCTTCCAATATAGAGTTCTTTAGTTGGGTTTTAATTGTACCTATTTTACCACGTGTATTCGACTGCCCATGGGACATATTCCATGGATTTGCCAAAATCGGTGTCACAAATCGGCCAAGAGAAAGTACATTATGTATATTGTCAGTAGCGTAACATTGCCTGTTGGCGCCCCCTCCCCTTTTGGTGCCCCGTCAGCGGGGCCCTTCGTTACGCCACTGTAACGAAGGGCCTCCACTATCCCCATGATTGTTTCAGTATTGCACCGATATTTATATACATTATGTACAGTTTTTCTTAGATTGAAAAATCGGTTTTGTTGATTGTCTAAAGTAGAATTCTGCCACAAATATTAGGCTGTGATGGGGGTTTTAAGGGGTTTTCCAAACTCCAGGGGCTCGTGAAGTGTCTTACACAACCTCTCCGAGCCCAAGATCCGTAGTGCGTGGTGAAGAGCCACACCCTTCTCGAGGTGCCACTGTTAAGCTTAGTAGCCTGTTCTGGGTGATTCCAGTTAAAACAGGTGAACGGTAACAGAACACTGCGGCTCTAGACCAGTACAGGTCGAAAAATATAACCGGGACATCTGTCTCGTTAGGACTGCATGCAGTTCATCGGGTGCGAAGGGCCAGCATCCCTTCCACCTCAAATAACAACGCTACTGAAACAACACACACATCAAATGGACGGAGTGCTACTTCCAATTCAAGGACGGATGGTTCCAGCATGACGGAGGCTGGGCAAAGCCTACGGGACCCCAGTCGCCTGATGAGAAGAGGGGGTACTCGTCATCCGACCAGATTTATTAGTCAACAGATCATCCATGTTGACCCTGCTTCCAACAAATCCAATCCAGTAAATTATTGCAAACAGTTTTTACGTTTTGGAACATGGAACGTTCTATCTCTTGTCAGCTCATCTACACAGCTCTACCAACTTAGTAAAAACATTGATCAGTACAGATTGGATCTTTTGGGGATCACCGAGACTCACATGCCTGGATCTGGCACCACTCTACTGGACAATGGCAGTCTACTCATCCATTCCGGTAGAGTCGACGGGATCAAGAGACAGGGAGTCGGTCTCAGTCTTTCAAAACGAATCAGAAACTCCCTGATATCGTTCACTCCCACATCGGAGCGGGTTTTAACTGCTAGGCTGCATAGTAAGCAAATCAACATCTCTGTTGTTGTGGCCTATGCTCCAACTGAGGGTGCAGAGGAGAGTGAGAAAGATAAGTTTTATAGGACACTCACAGATACATTTGATGGGCTACCTCGTCACGATATCAAGTTACTGCTCGGCGATTTTAATGCAAAAGTAACATCAGGCAGATATGGAAGTGAAGCGGTCATCGGTGGGGAATCACTCCATAGCTCATCAAATGACAACGGGACAAGACTTGTGGATTTCTGTGCGACGAACCAGCTTGTCATCGGGGGAACTCTCTTCGAGCACAAGAACATTCACAAGGGAACATGGCGGTCCCCCAACGGGCTCACCGTCAATCAGATAGATCATATCTGCATTGGAAAGCGGTTTCGTCAGTCACTTTTTGATGTTAGGGTATGTCGCGGGGCAGACATCGGCTCCGATCATTATCTGGTTCTAGGACTGCTGAAAATCAAACTTCAGTCAGTGACAAAGATCAACGCCAACAGGCCCAATGTGCCTGCCATTGAGCGCCTGAGGGATAGTACTACGGTTTTAGAGTACAATGTGGCTCTTCAAAACCGATTTGCAAGTCTGGATAGTGAGGTCGACCTCGAGGATATGTGGCGTAATCTCAGTCAGACCGTCACTGATGTCTCACTGGAGGTACTAGGCAAAAGACCCCGGAAGGCAAAGGAGCAACACCTGTCACGGAAGACCAAGGATTTATTGACTCAGCGGGCACAGTTTAAGCGCAAAGACCCAAACTCGGACACTAACAGGTCAGAGTATTCTAAACTTAATAAGTTAGTCAAGAAAAGCAGCAAGCTAGACGACAATAACTGGGCAGTTAGAGTAGCTACTGATCTTGAGGAAGCAGCGAGCAAAGGTCAGCAGCGTGAGGTTTGGGCAAAGATCAAGAAGATCTCTGGTAAGAACAAGAAGCCTCAAGCATCTTGTGTCCGGGACAAGGACGGTAGGAAGATCACGGATCCCCAACAGCAGAGGGATAGGTGGAAGGAGCACTTTACCGAACTTCTGAACCCCCCATCATCAAGTGTCAACCTTGCCGACCTTGATACAGTACCACCCCAACCCCACTTTAACTCTCTCTCTTGTTCGGATGGACCACCCACCAGAGACGAGATTAGTTATTCCCTGACAAAGCTTAAGAACAACAAAAGCCCAGGAGTGGACGGGATAACTAACGAGCAACTGAAGTATGGTGCGAGTGCTCTAGTTGATCAACTAGAGTGTCTATTCAAGAAAGTGTGGGAAGAAGAGACTGTTCCTGAAGATTGGTTAAAGGGTGTGATCATTGTTATTGGGAAGAAAGGAGACACTTCAGTCTGCGGGAACAACAGAGGGATCACCTTAAGGTCTACAGCATCCAAGCTTTTTCAGATGATTCTTCTTAAGCGGTTACATGCTGGTATGGAGTGTCTCCTCAGGGAGAATCAGTGCGGATTTAGACAGAACCGCTCATGTATTGATCAGATTTATTCTCTCCGAACTATTATTCATAACTGTCTTGAGTTTAACATTCCTCTTTACATTAATTTTGTGGATTTCAAGGCAGCGTTCGATTCTATCAGAAGGGACTTTATTTGGTGCAGTATGAGACACTATGGGCTGCCTGAAAAATATGTCAGAATATTTCAGTCATTTTTTGGGGGTACCATGAGTGCCGTGAGGGTTAATGGGGAGCTGACAGACTGGTTTGATGTTAACTCAGGCACAGGTCAGGGTGACATTCAAGCACCTCCTGTCTTTAATTTCTGCCTAAACTTTTCTGCATTTCTGGCTGAGACCAACAAGATCATCAGTCAAGGCGCAGTGCTGCAGAAAGAGATGAAGACGGTCGAGGAAAAGGTCATTCTGGACACCGATTATGCTGATGACATGGCTATTATGGACAACTCAGGGGAAGGCCTACAGGAATCAACTGATCTATTAGTTCATTACAGCTCCTACGCTGGGCTCAGAATAAATGCAAAGAAGACCCAATGCATGGCTGTAAGCAAGTGCGCCTCCCAGCGACCTTTCATCAAGGATGATTGTATTGAGCTGTCGGTTGAGGGTGAACCCGTCGAGCAGGTTAGCAACTTTGTCTACCTGGGTGCAACTATTAGTGGGGATGGGACAATCAACAGAGACCTGGATGTCCGTATCCAGAAGGCTAATGGCGCCTTTCATCAGCTCTGGAACATTTGGAATAGCAGAACTATAAAGACTCCAACCAAGATCAGGATCTATAGGGCTGCTGTCCTCACCATCTTGTTGTATGGAGCTGAAGTCTGGAACACCACCAAAAAGCAGATGAAACGTTTCGAGGTTTTCCATCAAACCTCCTTGAGAAGGATCCTTAGGATTAAATGGTTCTTTCATGTAACCAACGACGAAGTTCTTAGGAGGGCTGGCATCAAGTCAGTTGAGACTTTCATCAGTGCTGCCAGGCTACGTTGGTATGGACATGTAGTTAGAATGCCAGACTCTAGACTACCGAGGTTTCTGTTGAACTGGAAGCCAAATTATGGAAAGAGGTCAAGGGGCAGACCCCGTAAGAACTGGAAGTCCTGCGTACTCGAAGATGCTGCTAAGTTTACAGGTGTTGAAAACATCGACAACGACACAACAGAAGCTTTGGCTACCAACCGAGTACAGTGGAGACATATGTTACGCCGCCAACGCGATGTGTGTGATGCAGGCCACTCCAACGACTAGGAGGAGACCTTACCATGTAACATGTATGTATGTAACATGTGTATGATGTGGCCTTACTTGCGGGCACAAAGAAGCATTATTAGCAATTGTGTCCTTTACCCTCCTACTCAATTTGAACATTTTCGTGGCTCATTGAACAACATGACTTAATATGCATTTAGTATTAAACAATTCAGTGAGTTATCTTGTCATGTACGCGTACACTGTACATTGTAGTTAGTAAATGCAAACCAAACTTTTTTGATCAGCCGCGCTCTAAGCCAATGTTGCAAGGTTAAAAATTGTGTATATTTTGTACATTTTTCAGTGTGAATTAATTTATTAATTAATCACTTGAAGACGTATCACAAATTATTTTATTATAGTAAAACCACTTCAGTGAAATGGTTATTTTGACTTTAAATATTTGAACTAAATATGAATTGATTGTGGGTATAAAATAAAATTTGTTTTACTAAAAAATTTGTTTTACTACGTCTTGTTTATCGCCAGTCTTTCTCAACCTGATGCAGCCGTCTTAGGGGGGTGCCAAAGCCCAAATCGTTACGCCACTGTATATTGTCCACTATCTCCATGATTGTTTCAGTATTGCACCGATATTTATATACATTATGTACAGTTTTTCTTAGATTGAAAAATCGGTTTTGTTGATTGTCTAAAGTAGAATTCTGCCACAAATATTAGGCTGTGATGGGGGTTTTAAGGGGTTTTCCAAACTCCAGGGGCTCGTGAAGTGTCTTACACAACCTCTCCGAGCCCAAGATCCGTAGTGCGTGGTGAAGAGCCACACCCTTCTCGAGGTGCCACTGTTAAGCTTAGTAGCCTGTTCTGGGTGATTCCAGTTAAAACAGGTGAACGGTAACAGAACACTGCGGCTCTAGACCAGTACAGGTCGAAAAATATAACCGGGACATCTGTCTCGTTAGGACTGCATGCAGTTCATCGGGTGCGAAGGGCCAGCATCCCTTCCACCTCAAATAACAACGCTACTGAAACAACACACACATCAAATGGACGGAGTGCTACTTCCAATTCAAGGACGGATGGTTCCAGCATGACGGAGGCTGGGCAAAGCCTACGGGACCCCAGTCGCCTGATGAGAAGAGGGGGTACTCGTCATCCGACCAGATTTATTAGTCAACAGATCATCCATGTTGACCCTGCTTCCAACAAATCCAATCCAGTAAATTATTGCAAACAGTTTTTACGTTTTGGAACATGGAACGTTCTATCTCTTGTCAGCTCATCTACACAGCTCTACCAACTTAGTAAAAACATTGATCAGTACAGATTGGATCTTTTGGGGATCACCGAGACTCACATGCCTGGATCTGGCACCACTCTACTGGACAATGGCAGTCTACTCATCCATTCCGGTAGAGTCGACGGGATCAAGAGACAGGGAGTCGGTCTCAGTCTTTCAAAACGAATCAGAAACTCCCTGATATCGTTCACTCCCACATCGGAGCGGGTTTTAACTGCTAGGCTGCATAGTAAGCAAATCAACATCTCTGTTGTTGTGGCCTATGCTCCAACTGAGGGTGCAGAGGAGAGTGAGAAAGATAAGTTTTATAGGACACTCACAGATACATTTGATGGGCTACCTCGTCACGATATCAAGTTACTGCTCGGCGATTTTAATGCAAAAGTAACATCAGGCAGATATGGAAGTGAAGCGGTCATCGGTGGGGAATCACTCCATAGCTCATCAAATGACAACGGGACAAGACTTGTGGATTTCTGTGCGACGAACCAGCTTGTCATCGGGGGAACTCTCTTCGAGCACAAGAACATTCACAAGGGAACATGGCGGTCCCCCAACGGGCTCACCGTCAATCAGATAGATCATATCTGCATTGGAAAGCGGTTTCGTCAGTCACTTTTTGATGTTAGGGTATGTCGCGGGGCAGACATCGGCTCCGATCATTATCTGGTTCTAGGACTGCTGAAAATCAAACTTCAGTCAGTGACAAAGATCAACGCCAACAGGCCCAATGTGCCTGCCATTGAGCGCCTGAGGGATAGTACTACGGTTTTAGAGTACAATGTGGCTCTTCAAAACCGATTTGCAAGTCTGGATAGTGAGGTCGACCTCGAGGATATGTGGCGTAATCTCAGTCAGACCGTCACTGATGTCTCACTGGAGGTACTAGGCAAAAGACCCCGGAAGGCAAAGGAGCAACACCTGTCACGGAAGACCAAGGATTTATTGACTCAGCGGGCACAGTTTAAGCGCAAAGACCCAAACTCGGACACTAACAGGTCAGAGTATTCTAAACTTAATAAGTTAGTCAAGAAAAGCAGCAAGCTAGACGACAATAACTGGGCAGTTAGAGTAGCTACTGATCTTGAGGAAGCAGCGAGCAAAGGTCAGCAGCGTGAGGTTTGGGCAAAGATCAAGAAGATCTCTGGTAAGAACAAGAAGCCTCAAGCATCTTGTGTCCGGGACAAGGACGGTAGGAAGATCACGGATCCCCAACAGCAGAGGGATAGGTGGAAGGAGCACTTTACCGAACTTCTGAACCCCCCATCATCAAGTGTCAACCTTGCCGACCTTGATACAGTACCACCCCAACCCCACTTTAACTCTCTCTCTTGTTCGGATGGACCACCCACCAGAGACGAGATTAGTTATTCCCTGACAAAGCTTAAGAACAACAAAAGCCCAGGAGTGGACGGGATAACTAACGAGCAACTGAAGTATGGTGCGAGTGCTCTAGTTGATCAACTAGAGTGTCTATTCAAGAAAGTGTGGGAAGAAGAGACTGTTCCTGAAGATTGGTTAAAGGGTGTGATCATTGTTATTGGGAAGAAAGGAGACACTTCAGTCTGCGGGAACAACAGAGGGATCACCTTAAGGTCTACAGCATCCAAGCTTTTTCAGATGATTCTTCTTAAGCGGTTACATGCTGGTATGGAGTGTCTCCTCAGGGAGAATCAGTGCGGATTTAGACAGAACCGCTCATGTATTGATCAGATTTATTCTCTCCGAACTATTATTCATAACTGTCTTGAGTTTAACATTCCTCTTTACATTAATTTTGTGGATTTCAAGGCAGCGTTCGATTCTATCAGAAGGGACTTTATTTGGTGCAGTATGAGACACTATGGGCTGCCTGAAAAATATGTCAGAATATTTCAGTCATTTTTTGGGGGTACCATGAGTGCCGTGAGGGTTAATGGGGAGCTGACAGACTGGTTTGATGTTAACTCAGGCACAGGTCAGGGTGACATTCAAGCACCTCCTGTCTTTAATTTCTGCCTAAACTTTTCTGCATTTCTGGCTGAGACCAACAAGATCATCAGTCAAGGCGCAGTGCTGCAGAAAGAGATGAAGACGGTCGAGGAAAAGGTCATTCTGGACACCGATTATGCTGATGACATGGCTATTATGGACAACTCAGGGGAAGGCCTACAGGAATCAACTGATCTATTAGTTCATTACAGCTCCTACGCTGGGCTCAGAATAAATGCAAAGAAGACCCAATGCATGGCTGTAAGCAAGTGCGCCTCCCAGCGACCTTTCATCAAGGATGATTGTATTGAGCTGTCGGTTGAGGGTGAACCCGTCGAGCAGGTTAGCAACTTTGTCTACCTGGGTGCAACTATTAGTGGGGATGGGACAATCAACAGAGACCTGGATGTCCGTATCCAGAAGGCTAATGGCGCCTTTCATCAGCTCTGGAACATTTGGAATAGCAGAACTATAAAGACTCCAACCAAGATCAGGATCTATAGGGCTGCTGTCCTCACCATCTTGTTGTATGGAGCTGAAGTCTGGAACACCACCAAAAAGCAGATGAAACGTTTCGAGGTTTTCCATCAAACCTCCTTGAGAAGGATCCTTAGGATTAAATGGTTCTTTCATGTAACCAACGACGAAGTTCTTAGGAGGGCTGGCATCAAGTCAGTTGAGACTTTCATCAGTGCTGCCAGGCTACGTTGGTATGGACATGTAGTTAGAATGCCAGACTCTAGACTACCGAGGTTTCTGTTGAACTGGAAGCCAAATTATGGAAAGAGGTCAAGGGGCAGACCCCGTAAGAACTGGAAGTCCTGCGTACTCGAAGATGCTGCTAAGTTTACAGGTGTTGAAAACATCGACAACGACACAACAGAAGCTTTGGCTACCAACCGAGTACAGTGGAGACATATGTTACGCCGCCAACGCGATGTGTGTGATGCAGGCCACTCCAACGACTAGGAGGAGACCTTACCATGTAACATGTATGTATGTAACATGTGTATGATGTGGCCTTACTTGCGGGCACAAAGAAGCATTATTAGCAATTGTGTCCTTTACCCTCCTACTCAATTTGAACATTTTCGTGGCTCATTGAACAACATGACTTAATATGCATTTAGTATTAAACAATTCAGTGAGTTATCTTGTCATGTACGCGTACACTGTACATTGTAGTTAGTAAATGCAAACCAAACTTTTTTGATCAGCCGCGCTCTAAGCCAATGTTGCAAGGTTAAAAATTGTGTATATTTTGTACATTTTTCAGTGTGAATTAATTTATTAATTAATCACTTGAAGACGTATCACAAATTATTTTATTATAGTAAAACCACTTCAGTGAAATGGTTATTTTGACTTTAAATATTTGAACTAAATATGAATTGATTGTGGGTATAAAATAAAATTTGTTTTACTAAAAAATTTGTTTTACTACGTCTTGTTTATCGCCAGTCTTTCTCAACCTGATGCAGCCGTCTTAGGGGGGTGCCAAAGCCCAAATCGTTACGCCACTGTATATTGTCCACTATCTCCATGATTGTTTCAGTATTGCACCGATATTTATATACATTATGTACAGTCTTTCTCAACCTGATACATATTAGCGACAAGAGAAACGCCACTGTCGGACGTGAGGAGAGTGAGGACTCCACAAACTACATTAAACATATTCCTTCTGTAACGTCTTTAATAAATGTAATAGATTTGTAGTGTTGTAATTAGTTTATAATAATAATATAGCACAGCTTAATATGAGATATGGCTCATCGTTGATTCAATTATAGCTTAAGAGTTATGAAAACCATTGAACCAAAAGCCAAAATAAATTTTCTCAAAAATATTGTCTTTTCTCAATATTTCAGATGACGATTAATTACGTTACAGTACACTTTTTGAACACATGATATTTTGAACATGTTCTCTTAATGATCCTGTATGACTATTTGAAACCTTAACCCTCTAATATGATTCCAACCTTAATAGTCAATGTAATAAGCGCCAAGCGCGAGCACAGAACTTTTTTCTCCGATTTCGATAAATTTGGTACCAAAAGTTGTCTAAAAATGTGAATAAAATAAACCAACCGTGTAGCAATTTTCGCTAAAAATCAAAAATGCTACACTGCGCTTGTTTGCCGCGCGTGCTTTTTTCGCGCAAATTTTTAGTTTTTGGCCTATAACTTTCACATTTTCAATTATTATCACATAGTTATTATAATATTGTAATCAACTCATTGAGACGAAACTTATAGTACTAATATTTTAAGATTTAAACAAAATGCTTCCCAGAATCAGCACAATGAAGGGAACAAGATGCAGTTGGAATTTCAATTATTCATCTTCCACCCGTAGTCCCTACATTCGTCAACTGTTAAGCATTATCAAGCTTATTTCAAATTTCAATTGGACAAAATCACAGCAATGATATTCGAAAAGATTAAAATTGTCAATTAAAGTCATTTTAAATGCGTTTATGCTAGCCATTGTTTCGTTGTTAAAGATTTAATTTTGATTACGTACAAATTTATTTGTCATAAAATTATAAACACGAGAGCTTATTATACATATGTTATAATTTCATCATGTCATTTGACTGTCAATAAAGGATACAATTTAAATTTGTATTAAAACTTGTTTTCGCTTTTGAGATGAAACTTAACTCTATATCGTATTAACTCATGTCCTAATGATACTCTTTAGCACACACACGTCACACATTTTAATGTACTGTAATTAATAGTACATCGTCACAAAACATTTAAAGTTTAAAGTAATTAGGGATGAGGGATCATTAATTAATCAAATGTTTGAATAACACTAAGTCACAGTTAAGTTTTCTGAAAATGCCTTACTATTTTTCCACAGCGAAATAGGCTCATTGCAGTTCTGTCTTCCCCCTACTATTAATGTAAGTCTTGTGTTGACCACATTCACTTACTTGCTGCATTTTGCCATTCTGTTCCTTCTAGGCTGCTAGTATGGCAAGTGAAACTGTCCTGATTAAAGGTACTCTGAGCTAAAGTATAGGCAACCACCCCTGAAATAATGTACATATAGAGTTCAAGTTTTTGTGCGGAAAAAATGTTGAGAATTTTGCCCATGCAAAGCTCTTGGAATAATTCATTGTACACCCTTCCTCTCCATCTAGAAGCTTCTCCACTTCCACAATAAAGCTTCCCTCCTTCCCACCGTGAAGTTTCCTCGCTTTCACTGGGAATTTTCTTCTCTTCCCACCTTTGTACCGCCATCCCAGGGGGGCGCCTAATCGTCGTTTGAATGTGGGTGCCAACAGGCAACATTGCGCCCAAGAAAATAACAATTTCAAGAAAACAACAATTTTATTTAGTATCAATTAAAGCAGAAAATAAAAGTATTTATACAACTAGCACGAACTTAAGACCAGATACCTTAGCTTAGGGGACTTGGAGTAGCAAGAGAGTGACTAGAAGGTATATATACCTTTAACTAAAATACAGGGTGATACAGGATCAGTTAAACAAAAATTCAGTTAAACAAAAATTCAATTTTATGCCATTTATTACAGAGTAAACAAGTTTACAATCAATCAATTTGATATTTAAAGGAATCCTAATTCAATGTGTAGTATGGTTGTCACTCTTTGAATAGATTAGATATAGGTTGACGGGGCAAAGGAGTGTTCGTGCTGTTCGCTATTGCTCACACCAAACGGCAACCTAGTAAAATTTTTGTATGGACACCGGTCTCCATCACGATACAAAATTACGATTGAAGAATTTATTGTATAACTTTTAGTGCAGTGGAGGAAGCGGTGTGGTGCCAGGGGGGGGGGGGGGGTAATGACTACTTTTGGGGACTTGGGGAATTACGTCAATTCCCCATGATTTTTAGTCCCCATTAGTCCCCAAAAGTCTCCATTAGTCCCCATTTAGATTTCAAAAAATCTGGCTTCTCCAGACCAGATCGTAAACTTCTCAAGACTGAAGTCTAGAATATTTATAAATGGTCACTGGACATTCCTGACGTCTTGGGAGCTACTTGAGGGCTGTTAGAGTACCTCAGGTTATTAAACTAACTTGAAAACCATAAATAACTGTCAAAAATTCTGGGGACTTATGGGGACAAATGGTGAATTACGTCAACGAGTTGACCTCTAGTCCCCACGATTTTTAGTCCCCAAAAGTCTCCATTGGAAGTCATTACCCCCCCCCCCCCTCCCGGTGTGGTGCATTAATAGAGTGACAGCCTACTGATTTAGAGTTGTTTTTACGTGAGCATAATGGGTATATTTTTGGACCTAAAGGCTTTACTATGGCAACTTTAAAATTGGTTCTTCTAATCATTTATTAAATATCACTTAAAAAATATATAAATCTGGAATCTGTTCACACTGTGGACCAGTCTTATAAAAAAAAACCCTCTTAAATCAAATATTTAAAACGTCTCAATAATGGAAATAGTCATACAATTAAGAAATTTACCAAATTCTTAATATCTACCTAAGAGAAAAATACCTACCTAAGTCAATGTCTACCTGTAATACACTAAATATTAGGTTAAATACATAGGTGGTGGAGTCAGCACACATTTACCAAAATCTAAAATTGTTTAATAGGAGGAACCTGTGGGCCGAGAAGTGAGAACACTGGATTACATTTGTTGAAGGGGATTGTTTTCAAATGACAGCTGCATTATGTCATAATCGCTTGAAGTCCATGCTGAATCATTATAAGCATGTTGCAGCTTTAGAAGTGCCTTTTTCAGGCGACTTTTAGCAAGGCTAATCTTGTAGGAGTAGTCAAAAAGCTTAAGTTTAGGTGCAATTGTGCTCCAGATTTTTGTGGATCTTGATATGAAGTCATTAGATGGGAGTTGTGAAATGAGAGTGGTTTCCTTTCTAGAAGATGGCTGATAATGCTGTTGCAGTGATGCTGGGCACCTTAATTTTAGTATTTTAAAAACTTCCATAAAAGTGTGATATGTATATAAATTTTTGAAAGCCAGGATGTTTTGTTGCTTGAAAAGTGGTTTACAGTGCTCTAGTTGGAAGAATGTATCGGAGAGTGCAGACCGTAAAGTTTACGCACCCACCCTTGCCTCCTGAATTCTTGGTTGGATAGACATTAATGCAAACTTGGTCGTTTATACTCCAAGAAGCTAACTCCTACTTTATGTCAGGAGTTAGCTTCATTCAATAATAACAATATCAATATAATAAATATCAATATCAGACTAAACTATCGAATAAATTATCAAATATTAGTTATTAATTCGTTCTGATTAAAAATTTATAATTCAAGATATTTAATAATTAAAACATTATAAGTGGTTAAAAATGCCCCAAAATCGATCTGAGAGTTTTTCAGTCTAAAGCACAATCAAAAAAAAAAACTAAAATATCCAGAAATGCAGGCGTAATGATGAAACTTAAAAGTTCCATTCCGAATAAAGCTCAAAAAATGCTATACAATAGTTTAATTCAATCTCACCTGTATTACTGCGCTACTGTTTGGGGTACTAAATCTTTAAATTCCATTCAGTCTTTATTCTCTGCTCAAAAGAAAGCTATTCGCGCCACTGATTCAGAATATCATAACTATTTTTACGACAAAGAAAAACGTAAACACCATCTCACACAAAATCCATCTTCAACAAAATAGGAATTTTGGCTCTTCCTAATCTCATTGCTAAAAGCTGTCTAACTTTGATGCACAAGGTTTATATGGGAGTAGCACCATCGAGTATCTGCAGTATATTTGAAAAATCACCGCTTAGACAAACGGAAAGGAGAAATCCAAAGTATTTTGAAATTAAGTTCAACAGATTACGGATCACCGATTATAGCATCTCTAACGTAGGACCACGATTATATAACAACACGATAAACGAAATAAACAAAATCCTTCCCTTCAACGTACCTAAGTTACAAGATAAGTTTATTAATTCATACAAGGACAACATTGTACGTTACTTACTGGACAAACAAAAACTTGACCTAGAAAACCTTTCGTGGACGGACAAGAACTTTGTCCTTTACAACTTTTAAACAAAATATTAGCAAAATATAACAGCTGTAAGAATCCTAAACGTTATATTAGTGCACTGTGCAGTCAAATAAATGAACTGCGATAATGCATTTGACAGTCAGTCACTGCAATTTATTCTGCAACTTATTTTTCAATTTTCACTGCCACACTTAGGCTTATCCTGCCTACACATTTAAAAAAAAAAACGAAATTCCTTGCGCACCGCGTACTAAAATTACTTGGATTTCTACCGCTTTGATAAATGACTACATGAAGATGGGGAGTTAATATTGTTGATTTATATAATATAGATTATTTATTCTTTAGTGTAGATTAACTTTATTTTTATATATTTTACCAAGTGTGAAGGATCAACCATACGTTATTGATATTTTTGAAATATTTAATGATACATTGATATAATAATAAATGATTGTAATATTTTTATTGAGGCACATGCCACCCCATCGCGGGTTTACTACTACTACTACATATCATGATTGTAATAGTAAGTGTCATGTGTGCCGCTGCAATTAGATTGCTCTTTCCCTTTTCCACTGGGGAGCTGCTTTTCTTCCCACTAAAAAGCTTCATCTCTTTCCACCAGGAACACAACCCCTATATAGAGGTTCTTTTACCTTAAACAATTCTTTCAAAAATAGAGTGAACAGTTTACTAGGACATAAAGTTCATTCTCAATAGGCTTAAGCCCTTTACTGTAGAAGGAGTAAGTGCACCACCTATCTTCTCTTGGCACAATAAGTATCTTAATTATTGTTTCACCTTCTTTTATTGCCCAAGGAATGGCATTTTCATTTGGAAATACCTCAACTGCTGCTCCAACCTCATCCACCAGCTTGTTTGGTAACACTGGTACTGCCAGTAACCTTTTCGGTACCAAGACTGCAGGCACTCCCCCTTCCCTTCTTGGTGGCAGGTTTGTAATTTTTTAGAATCATCAAAAGATCAATAAAAAGATGAATATTGTCGTTGTTATTCAATTATGGAAGAATATTTAAGTAAAAATGTAATGAAATTTTTGTTGGAAATATTTGCACTTTTAACACGCTAACGTTTTCTTAGCTCAACCACTTCTACCCCAACTGCTGGAACTTTATTCGGAGTCAATCCTTCGGCTGCTCCTGCTGCGCCTGCAACTGGCTCAACAGGTTGATATATAAATTATAAACTCAATCTTACAAAACTTTTGGGGATACTTGACCTATTATTTAAGCCAAATGTTGGCACTTTATTCCCCTTCCCATCTGTGAGCCACTTTACACAGCTACAGAGTAGGAATCATACTAACATAAGCTTTATAGATTCCTTTTGTAGACATAGGCTGAGGCTGGCTCACATAATTCAACATGTTTATGATTCGTTATGTATTAAATTAAAAGGAGACATCTGTCAGAGCTAGTTACCTCGTGTACCCTTGTTATCTTGCTTTAATTTCCTCTATCTTCCAGGTTTATTTGGAAATTTATCTGCGGCCAAGCCAGCAACAGCAACAAGTACAACCTCACTATTCGGTAACAACTCACTTGCAGCAGCTCCTGCTGCCTCAACTGGTTCAACCTTAACCCTTGGTGGAACAGCTCCCAGTTTATTTGGCAATACCAACACTCCAGCCAGTTTAGCTGCACCTGCACCCAGCCTATTTGGCTCACCTGCACCTGCACCCGCTGCTGCACCGGCTCCTAAAGATGATGCAGTTACGTTGGGTGGAATAAAGTCAGATAATGCTAAAAGTACAGGACCAAAAGCTTGGAGAAACGAAACTGTGCCTGAGCCTGTGTGTAAGCTGGTGGACGAAATGAAAAAGTTTCTGAAGGAGCAGAAAGAATTGAAGGATGAGATAAGCCGGTTCTCTCCAGCTTCAATTGATAAAGTTAAAGAAGAGGTAGAGATCAATAGAATACAACGACTTTCTTTCTTCAACAGCACTAAATTTCAGATTTAGGATTTTAGGAAACTCTGCTTAGCTTTGCTCAATTTTCTGTTAATCGTAAAGTATATACCAAATATTTTGATTTCGTTGAGAGGGATTCCGGATCTTAAGACTTGCTTTATTATCACAGGTTGAGTTTTTGATAAAGAATGCAAGATATTTGTCTCAAGCAGTTGTAGCTGACACAGTTGCCGTTGCAAATCTGAAGAATTCCGTTATTGAAGAACTCAAAAATTGCGAGGTAACTTCATTTAATTTTAATTCAAAATGATTCAAATTTATCTTGTTGTCCTATTTTAAAGGTCAAGGTAACTTTTTGCTAGTGTATCTGGATCATTGAAAATGAAAACTACTATAAAAATGAAAATTACTATGCAAACTGTAGTTACTATGCACACTGTAGTTTTACTGAAGTTCAACACGAGATATAAACCAAAGTTAAATAATTCATGAAATTTTAGGTCGCCCAAAGAACAAGAGACTCCACAAACCTCCCATTAGAAATGTCACTTCCTATGGAATACTTCTACAAACGTGTTAATCAGTTTGAGGAAGCTATCCAAACCTACAAAGTTCAGGTAATAATTTAATAATTTTGATGTTTTCGCTAGTTGAAAGAGTGATCAATGAAGTGAAAAACTGTTCTCAGCGTTTAAGGTTTTCTAAAATATAAGTACATTTTTCCAACATTTTTACTTCTTAATATAGCTTCTAAAAATAGAAACTACCTCCAGATTGACGAGATCGAGAGCGTGATGACATGTGATCACAGCGTGGTTTCAACAGCTAACATTGGAGCTATGCTGAACAGAATGCAGCAGATATTCGTAGCTTTAGCTAGCAAGCTTCACTCTCTACACGAGGACATAAAAATACAGAAAGATTTTTATCTCAACTATCGAAAAGTAAATATCATGTCGGGATTATAATGTAAACGTACGTGCTTGTAGCATTGGATGGCGCTTCAAGTGCAAATGTTTTTAAAGATATCGTGCTTATCAAAGCAAGATTTGCTTCACAATATTAGTTGAACTAACTTAGTTTAATCTTGCTCAGGTAATCTACAGAGACGACACTAACATATTCGAGATAAGGAGGAAAGGAAGGCTGGTTTCACAGGTGTGCCCAACTCCTTTCTCAGATACAACCAACATGCTACCCTCCTCCTTCAGCCAGGTAAACATTGGGACAGTCTAGAACAGTCCAATTTTTATGCTTCCATCGAAATTGAATTATTTGATTGGTTGACAGTTGGAGGACAACTGGCTCATGATACATTGTATTACTTGTTCCACCCATCATTGAGAGACTTAGAGATTTTAACAGATAGGGCAGTGGTTATGATTACTGGCATGTATACCCAGCTGAAGTAAAGGTATATTTTACAAGGAATATAATTGAATTTGTAAATTGTAACTCTGTTTCCCCCAGATGAGCACGATAAGTTCTACACTTCCACAAAACACAACTCTAACGTCCTCCAGCCTGTTCAACAAGACTGCACCTAGTTTCAATACCAGTTTCAATACCACATCAACCCTGTCGACTACTCCTAAACTCGGAATCAAAAAAAAGAGATGAAAGGTTAAAAGCGTTGTGATGCTATAGATCTCACTATAAATTTTGTTTTGGTTGAACTGATTGACTATTGATAATAATGATACGGAATTTGTGACTTTGACTTCGTTTATTTGTACACTAAATTCATTCGGCTTTAATCAAGGGTTTATTTCTATTAATGATTTGGGTTTGAAAGATCATTTAGATGTTGGAAATGGGAAGTTTAAGTGGGGAGACATCTTTACAAGATTTTGTCGACTGGTATCGACATTTTAACACTTTATAAGTTCAATTTTAACATATTTATTTTACACATTATATAAATTGACATCGCATTCTCTGAATGATTCTCGTTCTTTACTGCTTCACTCAAGCTCATGTTCTTGAACAACCTTTAAAATTCATTATAATGAACAGAAAAAGAACATTCCAAACTTTTCAATGCAATGCTTGTTAAAGTTGCTTATTACTACCATTCTATCAGCTAGTGCTGAGAAGCACATCGTGGAATTAGACATATCTTCAATATACTATACAATATATATTATACACTAGATACAGTATACACTACTACACTACACTATACATTATAATTATACTATACACAGTACACTATACACAGTACAGTACACACTGTACATTATACTATACACAGTACACTATACACAGTACACTATACACAGTACACTACACATTGTACACTATACACAGTACACTATACATTACACACTACACACTATACACTACCTAGTGTTGAGTATGCAGTATTATCACATTACCCGCTGTGTGCGTCCTTAAAGTTGTCCTAAAAGTACCCATTTCCTGTTTCATTCAATATGTGGCTAATTATTATAATATAGAGGTTGTGCGACTTTGTTTTACACGTGACAGTGATACTAGTATTTGATTGGTTGGAGCTGCAAGCTGATTGGTTGATTGTTCTCACGTGTCCCAAATACACATTTAATTACACAATTGTAATGTCACATAAATAACACTGTATTTTCTGTTAGGCGGACAATCCGTCCCCTAGTCTACACGACTAGCATGACTTCACCAAAATTCTTCGTCAATTGGACCACCTTTAAAAAGTCATGGGAGGATGTAACCGTAGCTCACTGGCTCAAATACCCCAACCCTTTCTCCAAACATGTTCTCTCAGAGGTTTGTTATTAAATTCAGGTTTATTGTTTCACATATTATTCTGTAATGTTATCCAATGAGGAACTTCTTTCAATTCACAGAGCAAGATTTATGCGAGACTAATATCAACTACTCCAACCAAATTTCCCGGATTATTTGGCAACACTTAATCACATGTACATTTGTACAACATGTGTATGTCTGTACAAGGTACATCATACTTCATAATATTATATTACAACCAATAATTCAGGATGTAGTAGAGCGCCGCATTGAAGACGGTAAACTGTACACAGTAAGGTTTATAGTGAAGAAGCAACGTATCCCTACATCTTTTATGTGGATGGTCCCTGCAAAACACAAGGCCTGTTATGTTAAGGAAACTTCTGTGGTGAGTTTCAATACATTTATCAATCAATAAGTTTGACACAACTAATTAAATCTTAGAAGTAAATCATTGATGAAAGGGAATACTAAAGCATTCATTCATTTATTAAATTCGCCTGTACAGTCCTTCGTTATGAATAGGTCTTCCACTACGGTTCTGAATCCAGCCATTTAACCAATTCAATAGTAGCTGTGTATCGCCTCCCTGCAAATAGCCTCCTCCTCCTCACTTAAACTCTTCCCTCACAGATAGATCCAGTGAACCAGGAGTGCACGATAACAACAGAGAACTTGAACTGCAGGTTTATCAGTCTGGTTATAGAGACCCTCAAGTACAAGAGTGTTAGAATGTGTGAGACTCTCATGGAGAGACGAACTCGCATATCCGCCAAAATAGAGAGCATACAAAAGTTAGTATTTTATCATCAGATGAAGAGAGAACTTGATTTATTGGTATAAATTGAAAGTAAATTACCAAATGATTAATAAGTATATAATGGTGTCTGTTAATTTCATGTTTTAAACTTAACCTATAACCATATTGCCAACGGATTTAACATCTACTTCTCGTCTATTGCTCGTACTCTTAATTCAAAAGTTCAATCTTCTGTACCATCTCGTACGGTAACTGATGGCAATTTCAATAAAACGAAGTTTATACAATACCTCAAGGGCAGAGAAAGAATAGTGAACTCTTTTTTTCTCAGCCCCTGTGACGAGGAAGAGATAAGTAAAATTATTGGTAGCCTTGAAAATGGGAAGGCAAGTGATATCTCTGTTAAAGTCTTAAAAAAGAGTGTAAATTATCTGTCTGGTCATATATCTAGATTCTTTAATTGGTTCTTGGACAATGGGGTCTTTCCAAACAAGCTTAAAACGGGCTCTATTACACCAATTTATAAAAAAGGAGACTCACGATGCCTTGATAACTATCGACCTGTTTCTACATTACCGATATTTGGAAAAATACTTGAGAAAATAATTTATAATAGGTTATATAATTACCTCAGTGCTATGAACGTGATTTATGATCGACAATTTGGTTTTAGAAAACAACACTCAACATCTCATGCCGTAAACTATTCTGTCAATAAAATACTTAATGAGATTGAACAGAAAAATCATGTAATTGGAATATTTATTGATCTAAGTAAAGCATTTGACACAATTGAGCACGATAAACTCCTGCATAAACTTGAACACTATGGAGTAAGAGGTATTGCACTAAAAACTCTTGCTAGCTATCTAACAAACCGTAGCCAAGTAACTTCTTTTCAAACTGAAAAATCGGATAAGTGTTCAGTTGAGTATGGTGTACCCCAGGGGTCAGTGTTAGGACCTCTACTATTTCTGATTTATATAAATGATATTGTGAGCTCCTCAAGCTTGGCTGAATTCGTCCTGTTTGCTGATGATACAAATATTTTTGTGATAGGTAGTTCAGCACAGGAAGCTTTTGAAAAAGCTAATCATGTAATGAAACAGGTCAGTAACTATATGGAGTCTAACAAGTTACATATAAATGCAGGGAAAAGTTGTTTTATGCATTTCCAGCCAGGTTTGTCAAGAGCAACACAGACCTGTGCCAGAACACGGCCCTTTAACAGGAATCTAACGATTTTAATAGATGGCAAAAAGCTAGAAAAAGTTCAATGTACAAAGTTTCTTGGGGTGATAATAGACGAACAGCTAAGCTGGGAACCACATCTTAATCATTTATCTTTAAAGCTGAACTCCAGTATTGTATCGATTAAGAGAATTTGCAAATTCATTCCCAAATCTGAATATTTGAAACTATACAATGCTCTTTTTATGTCACATCTTAGCTATTGTATAAGTTGCTGGGGTGGTATCCCTAAACATAAGCTGAATAAAATCTTTGCAATTCAAAAACGATGTATAAGACTGCTATTTGGTAACATTCCCAATTTTGATCATAAAGAATACTATTTAACCTGTGCACGTTCAAGAACTTATAACGAACATATGGCTAGCAAGAACTACTGTCTTGAACACACTAAACCGCTATTCACTGAGCAGAAAATTATGAACCTGGAGAATCTGCACATGTACCATACATTTATGGAACTATTCAAAATTCTTAAATTTGATGTCCCCCAGTCGATTAAAGATCTTTTCAAGTTCTGTCCTAGAAATGAAAAACTTCGTCTGATTGTCCCATTACTGAGGTTAGATATCTCCCAACAGAACTTTTTGTACACCTCTACGAAAATTTGGAATGACCTCAGCCCCTATGTATTTGAAATTTGTGATGCTAATAAAGATGGGATAATAATCCCGGGTTCTTCCAAGAATTCAGACTTGTCAGCCTCGTCAGGTATTATTAAATCTAACCTTAAAAAGCACTTGCTATCCCTCCAAAATCGAGATGACCCTAATACATGGTAACTACTTTATATTATATCTCAAATTCTAAATCCGGTACGGCTCTGCACACATGATATCTCTCTCTGCCATGAAACATGGCTAACCTTTTAAACTATAATTTAAAACCTAAACCTAAACTAAAACTCAACTGGGCTCTCCTATGTCACCAAACTAAACCAATAAGTAATTTTATATTATTATATTTTTCTATATTTGTATAACAAGTATATTGACGTAGTGGATGGTTGAGGGGGTTTCAAGCACAGGTCACTCTCAAATCTTAAAGATAAGCAGTGGCCTTCGGCACTTGAAACCTCTTCAAACCTCCCCTGATTTATTTATTATTGATATTGTTTGATTGTGCCGTAAAAATAAATATTTGTTTTATTAAAATATTTGTTTTATTATTAACGATAAAATGTTATTTTCAGTTACACGTTCGACAGATACCAGAAGAACATCGCCAACACTGATAAAGGCATGATGTGTGTTCTGGGGTTACTGGACGAGTGTAAACGGCAGGGTCTCACCGGTCAATGTACTCTGTAATAACGGCCACTACTCTTGTTTAAACCGTTCAAAACCGGTTTTGGACGATTTCCCAACAGGTTTAAACCGGTTTTGGACGATTTCCCAACAGGTTTAAACCGGTTTCAGGTGGTTCCCTACACCTTCACCCCCCCCCCCCCCTAGTTTCAGTCACGTGAGCTGCCCCCATGCCTAGTACAATCATTTGGTATTAATTGTAGAGTTTATTATTAATGCTGAGCATTAATATATAAGAGGTATTACAAACGGTTGTTAAGGATCTTACTTCAAGGACTAAGATTGAGTTTTTGTAAATGATTAAGTGATGATTTTGTTACATGTGTGCTTCATGTTTCATTCATGTTCCGAGTATTAATTTAAGTTATTTTTTGATTGATGTTACTTTTTATAGAGGAGGTAAAGCTCGTTTTTGGGCTAAATTATAATATACAAAATAGGAATTAGAGATCTTAGAGTATACATGTGTTAGAGTAACGATTTTTATAATAAACTCTATAACGAACCGTTTATAACAAAGTTTGCAAAGGTCCAGGACGGTTCTTATATCGATTAGGAATATCACGATGCAGACGATGTCAATTTGCTCAAGTTGGAGGAGTTGCCTTTATAATTTATAAGTTCTTTTGATTCAAACACTATCAGACAAATTTTTCATGCATCCCAAGTATATTGTGTGACTGAATCTTTGTACCTTAACTAATTTATTACCTTAACTATTTCCTTGTTTCACTGTGATTTGTCATTGAATCTTTTGAATCTGAAATCTGAATTCTGAGTAGCTCTATAAAATGATAAAATAATTTCACACGGTAGAGATTGCATGAATTTTTGGGTAATCTTTGCTATGTTACTTTTATAATGCTCTTAGAGTATAAAATATTTCAAATATAATGAATCATCTACCATATTAAATGCAAATTATCTAAATTACTGATTCTAGTCTAGTGTATGTCTAGTATGGCATCATTACGACCAACTTCCACCATCGCACGTTTGGCAAACACCCTGTCAAGATGTAAGTCAGCAGCTGCTGCAGCGCCTGCACTGGCGCCCCGCGAGAAGACCTTCCAGATCTACAGATGGGACCCAGAAAAGCCAGGAGACAAGCCTCATATGGACACTTACAAGGTTCGTTAATTGAAATGTATCATTATTGTTAACTTAATTATAAGCATGTAATTACTGACTTTAGCTTCACAATATATAGAAATTTATAGTATAGTTTGTAATATAGTTTGAATCCGACTGGAATTCCAATTGCTTCACTGGACCAGATCTGAAAGAAAAACTTATTCAAAAGTAGCTGGTCGGTTTAAAAGCAACGACTTTTTGTATTGAACTAATCGTATTGTAAATTTAAATAACCTCTAGTTGAACCTGAATGAATGCGGCCCTATGGTACTGGACGCTCTGATGAAGATAAAGAACGAGCAGGACCCAACCCTGACCTTCAGAAGATCGTGTAGAGAGGGGATATGTGGATCTTGTAGTATGAACATTGGTGGCACCAACACTCTCGCCTGTATCAGGTATAGTCACAGCGCCATTTCTTAGACATTTCTGCGGTGAATTATTCAGTTTGAAAATGGCGAATAGAAATTGTCACTTTGAACAGATGATAACATGCGATTTTGTTTAAACGATATTTTAAAACCCATATTTTATCCCAAACTGTTACCAACAACCTCACTTAAATGTCACCCTTTTTCCAGTCGAATAGACCCTGACACAGAGAAAGCTATCAAGATCTACCCACTTCCCCACATGTACGTGGTGAAGGACCTGGTACCCGACATGACTCACTTCTTCGAGCAGTACGCCAGTGTGCAGCCTTGGTTACAGCAGGACGAGGAGATTGACTACGGAGCAAAGCAGATCTATCAGTCTGTGGATGACAGGAAGAAGCTCGACGGACTGTGAGTACTTTATATTTACTTGTTTACCAGTTAATCACTTAATTAATTTGATTCTTAGTTAAATATAATCTATACAATTATCACTGTAACAAATAATGTTATTGGCACACATACATTGTTGGTATTCGCTTAAAATATACAACATTTTACATGCAGCTAACATCGGACTATTTAAAGAAATGGATAATTCTGTTAAATAAATGTGTGCTGAAAAATACGTTAATAAATTCATAATCGCTAGTCGTATCGCCCTAGATCATTCTTGACCTTTTCAATGTATGGAATGATTCTGGTAATTTCTTCTTTGACGCATGCATTAATATTAAATCTGCATTCTACTATACAATTAACATAACACGATACCAGTGACGCTGTTTCATGTAGTGTTATCTAATTGTGTTGTTGGCAATATGTTAGACAGAACCAGATTGTTCTAGAACGTTTCACTAAATGGAAGGCGCGAAAAAGTAAATGTTGTAGTCGGTACGTGCTTTTTACGCGCGCGTCATATGATGCGCGCGCGCGTTTATCACACGCGCGCATATTAAATGATGCTATTTTGATTCGATAATGCATGGAACGTTATCTATTCCGGAATCGGTCGCTGTGAAGTCACGGAGTAAAGTTTGATGGTTAGTTGTAAAACAACGTACAATAATACTCTTTTAAATCCTAGCTGATCATTGACCACTCTTCACGCCAAATTTTACACGAACCCTCAATTAAATACGAATGCTACCTACCGGCTACCTATTGAACCTATCTAGAGGTTTAGAAGTAGGCATCTTCACGGCCATCAGTCATCACGCAATCTGCGGACCACCTCCTTGACTGCACCAGTCTATTATATTAATTTATCGAGTTAGGGTTTTCTGCACTGTATCCAGGAGTAGAGGGCTTGTCTGGAAGGGTGTCTAGGAAGTTTCCAAGAGATGTCTTGAAGCTTTCCAAAATCTTTTGAGTATTGACAATTTTGGGGAGAACATTCCAGAGTCTTCCAGCTCTCACTGCGAATGAGTGGTTGTAGGTGGAGCGTGCAGCGGCTGATGCTTTTTTGCCAGAATGAGAGAATGCCAGACTCCCAGTCTGGCATTCTCTCCGAACTGTACATCTAGATCATTTGGACATATACCCTGGAGAACTTTCCACAGATGTATGATGGTGTAGCGTTCTCGGCGTCTTTGCAGGGATGTAAGTTTCAGTTCCTTCAGTCTATTCCAAAAATCGGTGTCTTTGAGCCCTATAATCCGTCTAGTGAACTAGCTAAGGTTGAGGGGGTTTAAGTTTTAATCTTACGGTGTGAGTTATAACTAACAATATATTATTGGGGACGAAATGAGAGTTTTCACTGCAAAAAAATACACAATGTATTGTCGACGTTTCGGTTACATGCCTTTGTCATATACGAAACGATAATGACTATTTACAGCCATGTAAAGAGTAATCGTTTCATATATGACAGAGGAATGTAGCCGAAAGCTCGACAATATTTTGTTTTAGTGAGAGGAGATTCTCATTTCGTTCCCAGTAATCTATCAGGATCGACCCACTCAAGAGAGCGATAAACGAAACAAACTAAAAACTAATAGTGAATAAAAACAGCAGCATATTTGTCTTTGTTGGATTGACAATGTTTCATTGGCCACACATCGACTTGAATTTGGCTGCTAACTATTCATTCGGGCACAATCTCAGTAGAGATGTGGATATGATTAGGTACAGTAAAATGTAGTAACACTTGCACTTGTCACTTGTCAGGTATGAGTGCATCCTGTGTGCTTGCTGCTCGACATCCTGCCCTTCTTACTGGTGGAACAGTGACAAGTACCTAGGACCTGCAGTGTTGCTCCAGAGTTACAGATGGCTAGCCGACAGCCGTGATCACAAGACCAAGGTTTGTTCCTTTTCTGGTCTACATTCCCCAGTCGCTGTGACGTTCTTATCTAATAATGTTATGTTTTTTGGAACATTACACAATTTGATAGTAATTTTAACTTTTAAGCATTGGCAATTCTCCAATTTTTGTGTGTACGTACGCATTGCCTCTTATAAAATGTTACTATATATTGTGTTAATAAAGATATTAGGTAACCACTTAATCACTACTAGGGAGAATGTTCGTGCAAATAAATAAAAACTTTTCCTCAGGAACGACTTGAAAAGCTGGCTGATCCATTCTCCGTGTACAGATGCCACACTATCATGAACTGCACTAAGACTTGCCCAAAGGGTCTCAACCCAGGCAAAGCCATCGCAGAAATCAAGAAACTCATGGCCAAGAACTTATAGGCAGTGACCCTCGCCCTATAGCTGAAGAGAACATCTTTACTTGAACTGTGCTAGTGACCCCAAAAAGTATTGTGGATTTAAATTAGAATAGTGCTACAACGTTGACCCTGTTGGCCTTTCATAACCCAAATGTGTTATCATCGGTAGATAAATTTGGCGGTAGATAGATGGATCAAAAAGGCTGTAGAAAAGTGCGATCTATGATCACTATTAGTTAATAGTTTAGAGTTCCTTCCGGTATAGGTAATTTTAAGTTAACAATTTAACCTACACAACTTACAAGTGAATTCCCGTGATAATAGATAGCACTTTAATATCCTTTTCAATCCATCCATCCAACACCCGAGAATCTGCTGATGATATCACAAATGGGTAAAATTGGAATTTATTTTGTATTTATTGACAATTTTTAATTGGGATAGATTATTGAATGGCTGATTATGTGACCCTTTCATAATGGCGTGCTGCCAACTGCATGCAAGCATTTGTTAATCCACCATCTAGCTAGGATTGTAAGATATGAGGTATTCGACTTTTGTTCAGTAAAATAACATAATACTAATAGTGTAAATTTGATAAATCAATTGAACTTTAACATTTCCCTAAGTTGGACTTGCTTTCTTGTTTATCGACTTAGGGGTCGTTCACATATTAAGTAATCAATATTTTAGCAATTTTTACCCCCCCCCCCCCCCTCCGTAATCAACCGTAATCAAGACCCAACCCTCCCCCCCCCCCCCCCCCCCCCGGCCCCCCTCCTGACAGCAATATTACGTAATCATGGCCTGACCGCCCCCCCTCCCCTCGACTTTTTTCCCTAGAAAACACTTTTGTCTACGTTTCATGCTACCCTGATCATGCTATCATGATGAGCCGAAATCATTGTTATATGACATACGGCCAAGCATCTTCTAAACTACTTACTATTATAGCCGGATATTCGATCAATTTCTAAATTTTATCACTATCAGAGTGAAATCAACCGTAAGCATTTGAAACCCCCCCCCCCCCCCCCCCCCCTCGGCTTTACGTAATATGTGAACGACCCCATATGGAGGCTCAGGTGATTTTGTGGATTTATACGGTATCAGGCTCTGATAACATTGATATGAACAGAGAGTACTGTTGAGTAATATAATAACACCACAGTGATCTAATGAAATGTCACGTTACCTAACCTGCTATCCAGATATCCTGCAATCTATCTTGTGAAGACTGATCTTAACAACTCCAGCTCAGGTTTTTAGCTATATGACTATTTTACTGTATTCAGAAAACTCAATCTTCTTTCCATACGTGTTCTTGGTTATTTAATTAATTGGTTGATTAATTTGAGGGATATTTTAGTTAGTGTCATTTTAGAATACGACAGCCGGCACGTAATTTTAAAGCGGTAAGATTAAGAGACTCTCGTGGAGTATATCAGATTTCAGTGGACAGAAGTAGAGGATCAAAACAACTTGTTCTACATATAGTCAATCTTGTGAAGACTCTACGCTAAGCCTATTTTATCAAGTTAGTAAATGTTTTAGTGTTCAGACTACTCAATCTTCCTTCTGTGAATCGTTATTAATTAGCACAATTACATTATTGTAAACTACAGCTGCCATGAATATTTCATTTAAAAAGCATAATTTGTTGTTGTGAAACCAGCTTTTTTTGCCGGTACCCTTAAGGGATTTCAAGTCAACTTATAAAGTCAAAAAATTCACACACCAAACAATATCTCACTCCCATCGGGCAGAAATTAGCCTTTAATAAATCATAGTAAGTAAATGTATAGTCTATAGAATATGCGTATGAAAACTTAGCCTAGTTAAATAAAACCTACTGGTGAGACTTCCTTCACGATTGCTATTCAGCAATGTATGGTCCAAAAATCATCACGGGAAATTATATGAGTAACAATCCCGTTGGCCATACTTCATCAGATTTCAAAAAGTCTGCACTTCGAGTTGCTATACCAAATTTGAAATTCAGCGAAATCACGCACTTTATTCTAAACTCTTAAACTCAGCCCAATTGCGCACAAATCAACAAAGAAGATAACAGATTAATCTGAGTTAATTATCTCTTATATGCATTCACTACACTCAAAACTTTTCCGTCGTTAATATAGTGATACTTCGACGGTTCAGCAGATATTTTCTCCTTTAATTGAGCTACAAGTTTTTTATGTGTTGCTTGTTCCTCTCGGTTTCTATCTGGAGCAACGAACCAGCTGTGGTAGGTTGTACAGAGGGACTTTTTCAAATGATTTGCTCTCGAGAGAGCCTCTTTCACTGATTCGTTACTATTCATAGTCACTTTGATTGGCCTCGGCCTACCATCCTCCCGTTTCTTCACACCGATACGATTAGCAGCTACAATATCAGAGTGGTTATTGTGTTGCAAAATCTTGTCCAGTACTTCATCTGCTAAATCAGCGGGGCACGTGGAGTAATCCTCCGGGACTCCGTGGACGATGAAGTTCCTGCTCCGAGCGTCGTCTTGAACAGCAGACTGTACTGCTTTCTTCACTGTCTTCAAAGTTGGAGCTTTATTGTCGCAGTTTTTCCTGGCAATTTCGCTCCATGTCTTCATCTCCGTTTTAATCTCAGTTTGAACAGTCTCCTGCACAGATTTTAGCTGCTCTCTCTGCACTTTTATCAGTTCTGACTTAACATAATCGATGGTACCGGCTGCAGATTTGCATAAAACAATGTTACTGATCAGTGATTTGGTTAAGTTCTCAATGAGTTTTGCCATCGTGTCCTTGTTACATTTCATGAGTGCTGCATGATTCAGTTCCTCAAATTTTTCAATATTGACAGCGTTCTTCGCAGTATTTGCAGTATTGACAGCTTTTAAAACTTTTTCCACTGATGAATGCAAAGCTTCCTCTTGTGTGTGTAGATCTGCTACGTTGAATTCCATTGTCAATTGTACAACAAACGGGCTGTACAGCACGGTGCTGTGTTAAAGTTGATAAAACAGCTGATAAGAGACGATTTAAACCGTTGCATAAGCTAGATAAAATGATTACTAAGAAAATAACATGGAGAATTTCAGGATTTGGTACACAGAAAGAGAGGATCAATCCAACTCAATTTTAACAGTCTCTCAACACCAGGTACCAAATTGAAATACTTGTTTGTGTCATTTTGATAAGGGGGCATACGCCAAAAGTTTACTGACCATCTAGCGCACCGTTTCCTCACCAACAATTTTTGTTGAGGATTCCCATTTTTGTAATCGAGCATTTCCTTGTATCTACCAGATGATGAGGTGGTGGTATCTGGTAGTTATGATTATCCCTATTATTCAGCTCTCCTTCATGACTCATTCTTCATCCTAAATTAAAATAATAATTTAAAATATTCCGCCCCGCACATTTGTAGTCCATGACATCTTATCAAAAATTATCTATCTTGCTCGCAATAATTGACAGGATAATATATTTTAGGTACCAGATTCCGGTCAAAGATTAAGCTGCGTTTCTGATATTTTCGTACCAAAGATCAACATTTATCTTCAATATTGAGGTATGTACGTAATACTCAACCCCTCACAACTCCCCTTAATCGAAATGAAACTCGTACTTTATCCTGAAAGCTGAACACCTGGTGCCTCATCTCATTTACAAATTATGACTACTACATATAGCTTTAAACTTTTAACAGTTTCATTTATCTCAGAATATCTTAACTTACTGAACAATGGACAACTATGTAAAGAACGGAAAAGAAATCTTCCTCAAGTTCTGCACCTCTGATGACAAACGACCTACTATGCTGCCGAGAGCTCCAGATCAGTCGTATATAGACAGGTACCCGGAGAGTAGTGACTTCAGAGACGAACGACAACGTCAGTCTGATTATGAGGCTGAAGTCATGGTGTGTAGGGCTTTAGAGAAATTACCGGACGATAAGATCATCGTTCTTCATAACTTTGAATACACGCACCATCAATATCGTTTGTGTGATCAGAGTCATTTGTGGAACAAGAAGAAGTGCAAAGGGTGCAAGAACCCGTCGAATAAAGAAGGAGAATGTGATTTTTTAATTTTATGTTCAGGCTCCATCGTTATAATCGAAGTTAAGAACATGACTCACATTTACAATGCGGTCGACAAGGAAAAACACTTCAAGGCATTATCTGGTACGTTCACAAAATCAGTTGAGCAGAGAAAGAAGATAGAATCTCTGATTCAATGTATAGAAAAAGACACAACTATCCGTCAGTTCACTGCGTATCCTTATTTCAGTAAACAATTTAAAGGACATTTCCAGGCTAGTGAAGATACAAAACTTCAGCTAAGCGATTCAGAATTATCAACTGTAATATTTTATGAGGACATTATAGACTTATCAAGTTCTGGTTCTTGGTGGAATAACAACGCAACAGTAGCTCAAGATACAATAATTAATTGTGATGCCTTTCAAAAGGTTAGGAATATGTTACTTGCTATCTGGGCTACCGATAAAAACTACGATCAATCGAAATGTAGTTTAGCAAACTGCATATTAAACATTGATGAACGGCTCAAATCAGGAAAATTTACTTTTTTACCAAAAAAAGGGAAGAATCGTGCACAGAATCCTGGAGTTGTAACAGCTCCTGATGTTATAAAAAACTATGTTAAAGTGGAAAACTTGACAGTAGAACAAAGTGAAGCGTTCGAATCAAGCGAGAATCTGTTGTGGATTAACGGACCTGCAGGGGCGGGGAAAAGTGTAATACTTTGCGGTAGAATAATCCAACTGGTACAACTTAATGAGGACAATAAAGTTGTGTTATTCAAATTCGGCGGTGATGGTAACAACAGTCAGCTTTATCAGCGTGCATTAGAAGAAGCTAGTGTAGAATATCAAGAGACCAGCATGTCTGACGTCACTGCCACAGAACTACTATCAGAACTATCAGAAAGTAAGTGTAAAGTTATCATTGTAGAGATAAGAGATTATCAGACATTCCATCAGAAGATACAGAAGATACAGAAGTTAACAGATACAATCAGTGCTGTGACCAACTGTCACATATTCATTGACGATATACAGGAGTTATTGTATTCCTGCTCAACTAAGGAGTGTAGTGTACTGATGGACAAGTTGTTATCTTTAGAGTGCACTGTCAGGGTTGCATGTGACCTGGCACAGGGTTATTGGTTATGGATCGGACGAGGTGAAGGATTCATTGACATACTACTAAGAATGATATCTGACAAACTATCATCCACTCAGTTGGTACGTTTATCAATGAGCCTTAGAAATACATGTGATTTATCTGACATCTTATGTATAATACGAGAACAATTTAGAGAATTTCATTTTTCAGAAATACCTGATGTATCACTATCAGATATGATTTTACCTACACAATTACAAGGACATTTTATACACGGTCCATTGACTGTTATACATGTTTTTAATGATTACAATGTTGATAATATTAAACGTGTAATTGATAATGAGCTTGATAGATTATGTGATGAATTAAATTATTCTGATATAGGTATAGTACATACTAATGTCACTAGTAGTTTAATATCAATAGTTAAGGACAGTGTTAATATGAGATGTGAAAACACTGATAGTAAGATTGCAGTGTGTCGCAGTGGGGATAGT